GGAGGCCCCGGTAGTCCTGCCCCTCACCGGGCCCTCATCACGCAGGATGGTGTGCGGCTTCTCCACCCTGACCTGCAATGACTACACCTGACAGCGTAGAAGCTTTGTGGCTAAACGCCTTGGAGAGCCAGTGCTCCCTTCCTGTGCAGCAGATTCTGCTTGGCAGTAGGAAACCCTCTACCAGGGCTACCTATATGGCCAAGTGGAAAAAGTTCTCCTGTTGGTGTGAGCCCCGACAGGTGCAGCCGTGCCAGGCCCCGGTACAAGCCATTCTCGAGTACCCGCTGCACCTCATGTAGCAGGAGCTGGCCCCGTCCTCACTTAGAGTGAACCTGGCAGCCATCTCTGCCTTCCATCCAGGGTTTTCGGGGGGCTCAATGTTTTCCTACCCAATGGTGGGATGGTTCCTTAAACGATTGGAGAGGATGTTTCCATACTCATGCCCCCCCAGTCCCTCCTTGGAACCTTAACTTGGTCCTCTCTAAACTCATGGGACCCCTGTTTGAGTCCCTCGCTACCTGCTCCCTCCTCCACCTTTCCTGGAAGGTGGCATTTCTGGGGGCCATTACCTCGGCCAGAAGGGTGTCCGAGCTGAGGGCTCTCACTTCTGAGCCACTGTATACAGTGTTTCACAAGGATAAGGTGCAGCTCCGACCTCACCCCAAGTTCCTCCCTAAGGTGACCGCAATTCCATTTGGGCCAGGACATTTGTCTGCCGGTGTTTTTTCCAAAACCCAATACGGACCCGAGTCACCGCAATCTACACACCCTGGATGTCTGTCGAGCACCGGCGTTCTTTTTGGAGCACACCAAACCCTTTCATAAATCTGCGCAGCTGTTCGTGGCCATAGCCGAGAGGATGAAAGGCCGCCTGGTGTCGACGCAGCAGATCTCGTCTTGGACAACAAGCTGCATCCGGGCGTGCTATAAGCTCGCAGGTGTTCTGGCCCTGGTGGTCACGGCCCACTCGACCAGGGCGCAAGTGACTTCCATGGCTTTCCTGGCACTGGTCCCGATCCAGGAGATCTGCAGAGCAGCCACCTGGTCCTCAGTGCACACCCTCACAACCCACTACGCGGTCAACCAGCAGGCCAGAGAGGACGCAGCCGTTGGCAGAGTGGTCCTCCAGAGTTGTTCCATGACTCTTACCCTCCTCCAGAGGTAACCTTGTGATTCACCTAATGTGGAATGGATGTGGACAAGCACTCGAAGAAGAAAAACGGTTACTTACCTTCTTGTAACTGTTTTTCTTCGAGATGTGTTGTTCACGTCCATTCCACCACCCAGCCTCCTACCCCTCTGTCAGAGTCGCTGGCAAGAAGGAACTGGAGGGGGTAGGGCAGCAGGGGTATATATACACGGCGCAGTGGCACCAGTCAGGGGGTCCTGCCGGCCCGACGGGAGCCACTAAGGGAAAAAGTTTCCGACGCTCGTGCACACGACGCACACACACCTAATGGTGTAAGGTAAGTGGGAAAGCGGGATACCAGGAGGAAGCACAGGCAGGAACATATGTGAGGGGAGAGCTCCTTCCTCATACTGAGAATGAGGGGTGATCAGCAGGTTATTTCAAGTGCTTATATACAAATGCACAAAGCCTTGGAAACAAGCAGGGAGAACTGGAGGTCCTGGTGATGTCAAGGAATTGTGACGTGATTGGAATAACAGAGACTTGGTGGGATAACTCACATGACTGGAGTACTGTCATGGATGGTTGTAAACTGTTCAGGAAGGACAGGCAGGGCAGAAAAGGTGGGGGAGTAGCACTGTATATAAGGGAGCAGTATGACTGCTCAGAGCTCCGGTACGAAACTGCAGAAAAACCTGAGTGTCTCTGGATTAAGTTTAGAAGCGTGAGCAACAAGAGTGATGTAGTGGTGGGAGTCTGCTATAGACCACCAGACCAGGGGGATGAGGAGGATGAGGCTTTCTTCCGGCAACTCGCAGAAGCTACTAGATCGCACGCCCTGGTTCTCATGGGTGACTTTAATTATCCTGATATCTGCTGGGAGAGCAATACAGCGGTGCATAGACAATCCAGGAAGTTTTTGGAAAGCGTAGGGGACAATTTCCTGGTGCAAAGTGCTAGAGGAGCCAACTAGGGGGGGAGCTTTTCTTGACCTGCTGCTCACAAACTGGGAAGAATTAGTGGGGGAAGCAAAAGTGGATGGGAATCTGGAAGGCAGTGACCATGAGTTGGTTGAGTTCAGGATCCTGACACAGGGAAGAAAGGTAAGCAGCAGGATACGGACCCTGGACTTCAGGAAAGCAGACTTCGACTCCCTCAGGGAACGGATGGGTAGGATCCCCTGGGGGACTAACATGAAGGGGAAAGGAGTCCAGGAGAGCTGGCTGTATTTCAAGGAATCCTTGTTGAGGTTACAGGGACAAACCATCCCGATGAGTCGAAAGAATAGTAAATATGGCAGGTGACCAGCTTGGCTTAACGGTGAAATCCTAGCGGATCTTAAACATAAAAAAGAAGCTTACAAGAAGCAGAAGGTTGGACATATGACCAGGGAAGAGTATAAAAATATTGCTCGGGCATGTAGGAATGAAATTAGGAGGGCCAAATCGCACCTGGAGCTGCAGCTAGCAAGAGATGTCAAGAGTAACAAGAAGGGTTTCTTCAGGTATGTTGGCAACAAGAAGAAAGCCAAGGAAAGTGTGGGCCCCTTACTGAATGAGGGAGGCAACCTAGTGACAGAGGATGTGGAAAAAGCTAATGTACTCAATGCTTTTTTTGCCTCTGTTTTCACTAACAAGGTCAGCTCCCAGACTGCTGCGCTGGGCATCACAACATGGGGAGTAGATGGCCAGCCCTCTGTGGAGAAAGAGCTGGTTAGGGACTATTTAGAAAAGCTGGATGTGCACAAGTCCATGGGGCCGGACAAGTTGCATCTGAGAGTGCTAAAGGAATTGGCGGCTGTGATTGCAGAGCCATTGGCCATTATCTTTGAAAACTCGTGGCGAACGGGGGAAGTCCCAGATGATTGGAAAAAGGCTAATGTAGTGCCAATCTTTAAAAAAGGGAAGGAGGATCCTGGGAACTACAGGCCAGTCAGCCTCACCTCAGTCCCCGGAAAAATCATGGAGCAGGTCCTCAAAGAATCAATCCTGAAGCACTTACACGCGAGGAAAATGATCAGGAACAGTCAGCATGGATTCACCAAGGGAAGGTCATGCCTGACTAATCTAATCGCCTTCTGTGATGAGATTACTGGTTCTGTGGATGAGGGGAAAGCAGTGGATGTATTGTTTCATGACTTGAGCAAAGCTTTTGACATGGTCTCCCACAGTATTCTTGTCAGCAAGTTAAAGAAGTATGGGCTGGATGAATGCACTATAAGGTGGGTAGAAAGTGGGCTAGATTGTCGGGCTCAACGGGTAGTGATCAATGGCTCCATGTCTAGTTGGCGGCCGGTGTCAAGTGGAGTGCCCCAGGGGTTGGTCCTGGGGCTGGTTTTGTTCAATATCTTCATAAATTATCTGGAGGATGGTGTGGATTGCACTCTCAGCAAATTTGCGGATGATACTAAACTAGGAGGAGTGGTAGATACACTGGAGGGCAGGGATAGGATACAGAGGGACCTAGACAAATTGGAGGATTGGGCCAAAAGAAATCTGATGAGGTTCAATAAGGATAAGTGCAGGGTCCTGCACTTAGGACGGAAGAACCCAATGCACCACTACAGACTAGGGACCGAATGGCCAGTTCTGTGGAAAAGGACCTAGGGGTGACAGTGGACGAGAAGCTGGATATGAGTCAGCAGTGTGCCCTTGTTGCCAAGAAGGCCAATGGAATTTTGGGATGTATAAGTAGGGGCATAGCGAGCAGATTGAGGGACATGATCGTTCCCCTCTATTCGACATTGGTGAGGCCTCATCTGGAGTACTGTGTCCAGTTTTGGGCCCCACACTACAAGAAGGATGTGGATAAATTGGAGAGAGTCCAGCGAAGGGCAACAAAAATGATTAGGGGTCTGGAACACATGAGTTATGAGGAGAGGCTGAGGGAACTGGGATTGTTTAGTCTGCAGAAGAGAAGAATGAGGAGGGATTTGATAGCTGCTTTCAACTACCTGAGAGGTGGTTCCAGAGAGGATGGTTCTAGACTATTCTCAGTGGTAGAAGAGGACAGGACAAGGAGTAATGGTCTCAAGTTGCAGTGGGGGAGGTTTAGGTTGGATATTAGGAAAAACTTTTTCACTAGGAGGGTAGTGAAACACTGAAATGCGTTATCGAGGGAGGTGGTAGAATCTCCTTCCTTAGAAGTTTTTAAGGTCAGGCTTGACAAAGCCCTGGCTGGGATGATTTAATTGGGGATTGGTCCTGCTTTGAGCAGGGGGTTGGACTAGATGACCTCCTGAGGTCCCTTTCAACCCTGATATTCTGTGATTAATGTGGAATGGACGTGAACAACACATCTCGAAGAACAACAGTTACGAGAAGGTAAGTAACCATTTTTTCATTCTCTCCAAATCTCTTTATGGTATGTGGTATGAATGGAAGAGGTACTTCGCTATATAGTCTCTGCAAGTTTTGATGATACAGAAACTCTCGTGCTCTTATGTAAAGCCCTGGTGCAGCAAGGTATTCAAGCATGTGCCTAAGCATGTGAGCAGTCCCATTGAAGACAATGGGATGGTTTTTTTGCTTAAAGGTGGGCAGAAGTCTATTCATAGTGTAAAGTTAGGCATGCAGTTAATTACTTTGTTGAATTGAAATCTCAGTGAGACTATGGACTTTTTATAGGAAAAAGGGCCACATTCTCCTCATGCATATGTATGCAATGATAAAATTAAATATATACATATCATATTAAGTTAAACTGATATATATATGGAGAATATGGTCTTTTCTGGATAGATATATAAAAAGGCCATATACATATTATTTATTATTATTGTTATTATTAATTTTATTTATGTATTTATTATTACCCTAGTTGTTTTGTGGTAATTAAAAATAATACATTTCCACTATTTCTCTTTCAAAAGCCACAGTTACCATCCTTGCCAGTGATGATGGTCATGGAGTTTTGTCATTCAACAACAGCGATCACTTTTTCCTAAGGGAGCAGTCAGCTCTCCACTTGATGGAAAGTGTTGCTGTACTGAACATTATTAGAGAACCTCCCCAGGGGATATTTGGCACTGTGACTGTTCAATATCTTGTGAGAGAAATAAATTCTTCAGCTGCATCAGTGGATCTGACCCCTTCACAAGGATATATCATACTGGAAGAGGGAGTCAGATTCAAGGTAATATGCAGGTGGTTATTACAATATAAGAGAAGTAGGCATTGTTTCAGCTACCTGGGAAGCATACAGAAATGTCTGCGTTTTATGTTAGACTTGATTTCCTGTTGTATTTTGTTTTATTTCTTGTTATTGTAGGAATGAGATATCAAAGATTGTGAATATGTCAATATGCTATGTGAAAACGTAGAGAAAATGAAGTATTCTAATGCTCATTTATATATAGTCATTTAATCCCTTTATTACTTTTGGAATATTTATGCCTTTTGGTAACAGTTCAAATAAATAGCAATATAATGCATAGGATACATTCAGAGAAATTGAGAAACAATTTCCTTGTATATACTTGGCACATGGCTATGTTTCTATTCTGCAATTTGCACCTTAGATAAAATCTACTTGAATAATAGAGCTAAAATATAATACAATATTTCATTCTACATAGTAAGAATACTTTAATTGCTCTCAGTTGTACAGAATACATTACTGGAAGTGCAAGAAAATGTGGCAGTAACTAATGTTTCTCAAACAATAAAAATGTAAATTCTGGGTAGGAAGAGGACCTAGTCTCTGGGCGGTAGGGGGCTGGGGGTGGGGCGGGGTTGCCTCCACTCAAAAAAAGTCAACCTAGAAAATGGATCATAGAATCATAGAATATCATGGTTGGAAGGGACCTCAGGAGGTCATCTAGTCCAACCCCCTGCTCAAAGCAGGATCAAACCCCAATTTTTGCACCAGATCCCTAAATGGCCCTCTCAAGGATTGAACTCACAACCCTGGGTTCAGCAGGCCAATGCTCAAACCACTGAGCTATCCCTCCCCCCCAAATGATGATATTGTTGAACTAGTTTTCTATTGATTTTTATTCATTTAGGGTAGAATCCCTGCCCCATTGAAGTCAATGGGTATTTTGCCTTTCCCCTCAATTAAGTGAGGATTTCACCTTTATTGTCTCAGTGAAACACAATAGGTACTGTACAATAAATACTAAAAACATACTGAGATCAAAATGATTCTTCATAAAAATTCACATGGCCTAAGACATCCAACTGACCAAAACAAAACCTCAAAAGAACAGAAAATAAAACAATGTTCAACCAAAAGCCTGGCTGATGGAAGAGAAAAAGTCATGTGGAATCTGAAGTTTTCTACGTGGATTCAGTCATGGGGAGCAAGTTTGCAGGATATGTGGATTTTCGAGCTATCCAGGAAATGTTTTTTTCTTCCCACGAAAGATAAAAAAAGGTTGCATTCATCAACATCATTCTAAAGTTTTCAGGTTTTTGTCAAAAACCTGGAAACCCCCAAACTGCAAGTTTTATTGTCTGAAAAAAATTGCTTTTATTTTTAAAATGAGAGCCTGAAAAATATAATAAAAAATGGATACTGCTGAAATTTCTATTCTGATGAAACAGCATTTTGAATGAAATAGTTTGACTAGCTCCAGTGGGGTTTTATTTAATAAAATTGTTGCCACTCTTGGACCATTTTCAGGGACTAGTGGCGCTTAACTGATGGAGAGCCTGGAATATATGCAATGAAAGTCAAAATGCATAAATTAAAACTGCTGTGATAGGACATAGGGAAGTACACAGTATCTTAAATGAGTCCAACACCATGGAGAGCTTTACCACAAGCCCTTTGAATTTCATTTGGAATTGAATTAGTAGTCAGTGTAGCCCAGACATTATGTGGAAACATTAAGTCAACCTACTCAGAAATTGGAGGCTCATAAAACTACACCCCAAATATTGTAGAAATTTTACCTGGAGCAAGCAAAGACATGGATACCTGTGGCAAGGTCTGTATCTGAAAGGTCACAGGCTCCTGGTTAGCTGTAGATACATTGCTGTTATCTGTATAACCTCAAGCAGCAAAACTGTATATCTATTGCTTGCATATGATACTGGAAAAGGATGGTGCTGTATACACAATTGAAGGTAAAAGTATTACAACACTCTTCTGTTCCTCTGTGTTACTGTTTATCAACCTGGGAGGCAGGCCTTCCTGGGAGGGGTCCCACTCAATCCAGTAGCAGGTGGAGCAGAAAAGAGCAACAGGAGTGGAGAAAGTTTCATGACTTCAGATTCATTCCTTCCCTCCCACTCTCTGAGTTCGTAAACACACACAGTGCAAATATGCCCCAGTACTTTGGGTGAAGCAGCTAGTTGCCAGCTTTCTCTTTCTGCTTCTTGGGGTCTGTACTGTAGATATCAGACCAGCAAACGTACTAAACAGGGCTGTAGGTTCAGGCAGTCCATTTGTGCCCTTTGTTCCTCTGGCCCTTAGCTCAGTTGCAATAACATTATTTATTTGTATGACCATAGTACCCAGGAGGAGGCCCAGTCACAGATCAGGACCCCATTGTGCTTGGTGCAGTAATAAAAAAAACAGCGCCTGCCCCAAAGAGCCACCTTTATGCTCTCTGGGTATAAAGCTGTCTGGTCAGCGGGAAAGAGGGATGTGGGGAACAGAACAACAAATGAAAATACGTATAAAAGAAGGCAGGGGTTTTGTTTGCTTTAAAGAAAGAAATAGAAAGGGAAGAGGTGGGTTCATCTGCTAAGCCTTCAAAGGGGCACTCCGGAAGAAAAAGGTTAGAATTCACTACTCTAGTTTAATTCCCACCCCTCTCTCCCTGCTGGCACGGTTTCTGTGTTGTCCAGTTTCAGTATTTGACTCCCATCCTGGTGTACACTTTAAGCACTGAAAGCACAGGAATGTCAGCAGCTGGTGAAGCTAGCATGTCTTAGTGATGTCATGTACTTGTTTTGCTCTCAGACTCTGCACATTTCTGCCATACTAGATGAAGAACCAGAAATGGATGAACATTTTATTGTCACTCTCTTCAGCCCAATGGGAGGAGCCAGACTTGGCACAAGAGTGGAAACTATGATCACGGTGTTACAGAACCAGGCCCCATTGGGGCTTTTTAGTATCTATCCAGTTACAAATAGGTACAGTACATTAATTCAGTTATAAAGAGGATAATTATTCATATTCTGTAGACAAGATAATTCTCTGCATCTTTCTTTGGTGGACCTGTTTAAAAGAAAACAAGGAAATGAGCAATCCACAGTTTTAGGTAGTTGAAAATCTTTTAAAATATTTGGTGTCTGTTAAATAACATTGCTTCTGTACCAGAGAACAGAAGATTGAAAATAAACTATTCTTCACCAGAATATATAGTACTGACCCTTTAAAAAAAAATTGGACCCAGAGCTGGCCTGACTGAGTTTTTAGATTCAGATTGTCCTCTTGCTACTACTACTTTATTGTTTTTAGCCATGTAACTCGTATCTTTATTATGTATCTAAATTGTTCTTTGAGTGTGTTATGTGAAGAAAGAGTCAGCATGAAGACTAACTTCCCTTTCAACTGTTCTTTAACAGCATATTTATAATCACACACACGAAATTACTATGTTAAAAGAACATTATTCAAATTACTCATCTTATCTCAGTCTCCCTTCCCTGGCTTCCAGTCCCAGTCTCCCCACCCTATGCCAGCCAGCCTTCAGTCCCAATTTCCACTCCTGCCAAGCTCCTTGTCCCAATCGGCTCCCCTTTGCTCTTGTCCCCTCTGCATTCGAATCCGGCAACTTCCTCCTCAATGCTGCCCTGGCCCAGCAGGGGCTGGTCACTGAGCATACAGGAGAGACAGACTCCCTGCTCTCAGTGCAGGTACCCAGACCCAAGAAAGCCCACCACAGCCCAGAACTGTAGTTGCATCAAATGTCCTGCTCTTCCCTGGATGGAGCTTGCCCAGTGCAAATGGAATCTTTGGAGAATTCAAGTGATACAATCCAAGTCTCTGATGAGCATGTGAGAACTACAGTTTTTCAAGGCTTATAATTTGGTCAAATTTGGGCTGATTTTTATGGAGCTTGCAAAAGGCATATCCTGACACAAAGGCCACCAGTACACCAAATTTCAAATCCTTGCGCCAGAGTGTAGAGGTGCTTGAGTCAAAGAAAAGATCACCAGAATTTTTAACACGGGGAAAATATGTTTTCTCGTTCCTAGAAATGGCTGAACAATTTAGTTGAAATTTTCCAAAATACTCAGCCTGACAGACATGTAAACCTTTATCCCAAATGATTAAAGTTTGTCCAAGTTATAAGCAGCTGAAACCAGGGTCTTATAATGGGAAGTGTTGGTGCTACCAGCAGCCCCACCTGTAAGGAAACCAGCTGCTAGTGATTTCTTTCCATCACTGTTGTTTATTCTACCACTGAAGCTGTACCATGTAAATGATGTTTTTCAGAATGCCAATTCATACATTGTAAAAGGAATTCCTGTTTCTTTATTTTTGCAATTCTCACATTTAGGACAAGTTCTCTGATAGTTGAAGAAGCTAACAGTACCCTTTATTTGAAAGTATCCCGAAGTCATGGGCTCAATATGTCTGTGAGTGTGGAGTGGGAGACCCTGTCCAATACTGCATTCGGCATAAGTGAGTTTTTTTCTCAATGAATGTTACTTTTATTAAAAGTTAACATCAGTAAAACTGGCCAAGGAGACAGAGAGACTAGTTTTGAAATGTAAATCCATTTTTCAGAGTTGATAAAATAAACTCCTGCATTAAAAGATTTCTTTGAGTGTGTTAAGATTCAATAGATAAAACGGCTTCACTAGAGCCAGTCCACTGACTGTCACTTCTGTCAGAGTTGAGAGACTTCTGAAGTCTTCCCTACCTCACGACAGTGTATATGGAACAGTATTATCACTAGACTTCTCTTAAATAAGACATGGTTGTAGTAGTATGAGTATTCTTGTAGCACCCACAACATGCAAAAGTACCGTCCGCACAGTCAAGATGCCTGTCTGTGTCTGCAAGAGTTATATTATAAAGCCTCAGTCTTGGCACGTGCTCAATTTTAGGCTGTGTGGGTAGTTCCATTGGAGTCCCATATGACTAGTCACAGTGCCTAAAGATAAGCACTTATGTAAATCTTTTCAGGATTGTGGCCTAAATAACTTCAGTGGGGCTACTCATATGAGCAAAGATACTCACATAACAGTTGGCAGGACTGGGGTCCAAGCTTTCGTTCTTGTAATTTAATTCTGACAACACATTCAAAATATCCAGTTAAACAGATCTATAAGTTATGCAAGTCTTTGCAAGTCTGACTTCTGTTTCATCTTGGTGGTGATTGGGGAAAAATTCTTTTGTATTTTTTTTTGTATGGCTTTTCCATTAGCTTGCTTTATTTTGATTCTGTCCACCAAAAATTCCCTGTATGACTTGCTTGTGTATTGAGAATACATATTACAAAAACATTAATCTGTTGTGTTCTCATTGTTTTAACCTCTGGATGCATTTACGCTAATAAAATGCAAGTTCTGAGTGATGTCAGCAGTGTTATTTCTCCTGGCATTAGGTCTGAAGTTGGCTTGTGAAATCAAAGATAAGATTGGAAATCCCTCACGTATACTCCAGTAACTCATATTTTTAATATATTGCAGAGGGTGGTATCAGTGTGCTGTCTGTCTTACAAAGTTTTGTGGAAGAGTCAGTATCTAGCTGGTGTTTCTTTACATCAGGAGAGTCTTTATATGGTGTTCTATTGCGGACCTCACCAGCTAGCTTTTCTTCTATCTATCAGTGGAGAGGAGTTTTTGTTCCCATTGAGGTAAATGTTTTTATTTTAATCCATTTTGTATGGATGGTACTAATTGTATTTGTAAAGTCCAGTTCCCTCATCAACTTTCATTATGGTTCTCCTCTCAGGACTTCAGTATATGGAATCCTCAGAGCTGTGTGACATTTCACATCAATGGTGCTGCCTTTCTAGTGATTACTCATGGAGTATCCAAACAAGAATCTTCCAACCATCGTGTGTATACATTCACACCTGGACTCAGGGTACTACTGGTAAGACTTCTACCTTATTTTAGATGCTTTAGAAAAACCCATTCCTGGGAGGCCAGTTTAGTATTGAGCTCCAGCACAGTACTTGTGCTCTGCAGTGACATAAAACACGGCATTTTATAATAAGAGTCATATACTGTAGTGTCAAGATCTTAATTTTTATTACAAGCCAAATGAATTTAAATTTTGGTAACACTGATTTAAAATCAGCTGGTGCAGCACTATTTACTTAAAAGGAGTTTTACTTGTTTCTGCCAGAGCTTGTCCATAATATTTTCATGACATTTTCATGTGGAAATTAGTGAACAGTCAGATCTGTGTAATCATGGAACTTTTTTGATATTTTAACAAAGTTTTGTATTGAATAACATTCCTCCATTAGGCAAATTAGCCACATATGAGGAACTTGAATCACTTCATAAAGTTCTCTTGTCCTTGTGCCTTCTTTACAGATACAGACTCTCTCAGTGCCAGAAACCAGAGATGTAAAACACTTCACTGTTGAAAGAAAAGATTATTTAATTATTGCAAGTCATACAACTGACTCCAAATCCATACAGGTTGGAATGATCTCCCCTTTTCATTTTTAATATGTGTGCAGTATACATTTAGCTCTGATTGGAAATTCCTAAGTGGCAATCAGCATAATGGTTTATAAGTACTATTGACTTGCTACCCTGAATTCTACAAGAAGCTGAATAAAAACGAAGTTTACAGACTGATTTGGGTTTACGAGTATTGTCTGTATGAACTCATACAATATACCAGATGTGAATCATTATCAGAAATCCCCTTACTTTGAAAATTATGTCATTTAGTTCTTGTGCTAAGGGGAAATAGGCAGCCTTAGAGACAGAAGTTCTCTTATCTTCAGAACAGATAAACCTGCATTCAGCTTCTTTATACCACCCTACCATTGTACCTCAACCTTCATGTGGAGGGACCATCTTTAGAGGTAAGTTGTAGCTCAGTGTCCAAGACCATACAGTTTTTCACCTTCTGGCTGAGGCGACCAACAAGAGTACCAAGGGTTGGGGTGATTTTACAATGCAGATACTTGTCTACTAGGAACTGGAAGGAGAAAACCAACTGAATTCACTGAGCAGCCATTAGATGTAAATGATTCATAGACTTCAGAGGATAATTAAAATAATCTAAAGTCTTCAGCATGACATCTGATTTCTGTTAGCACAATCTGACTGTACTTAGATCTAAAGAAAAAAAATTATTTATCATTTCCCATAGGTTTTCCAGTGGAATAATGGCCTTTTTATATTGCATCATCAACTCCCAATTTATGGAGCTCTGCACATGGCCCTATTTCCCAGAGGAGGTTTTATGTACCTAGCAGTTTCTCTGTCGAATTCAAGCCTGCACCCCCTTCTGTACCAATGGTCAGATAATGAGTTTCAAAAACTTCATCAAGTGCCAGTAAATGGAACAACTCACATGGAGGCCTTGACTTTTGGGTCTGATATCTATTTAATAGTTGCAAAAGGTATGTTGCATGATACAAGAACATGAGTTTATGCTGGTCTGTCTGATGGGAAAGTCACTTGGCTCAGCAGTGTAGACAGGGATTTAAGCTTAGAGAGGAGAGGCCACAATTTCTCATGAAAATTTTATCAGGGACAATCTCTGTTATTTATTGAGCAGATATAAGTGTTGCATCCATTTTCAAGTATGTGCAGGATACGTGAAGTGTTGATTTCCAGCATACACTTTTCCCAGGAACATTGGGGTAATTAAATCCTTACTACTGTAGTTGCTGTTAGCATCCTCTGCAACGTATGTGCTGTGCAGAATTTATGGAACAGCAGTGGAGATAATTGTTACGTCCCAATGTGATCCACTAGGCAGTCCAGCTTTCCTAACACACCCCTCTGTGTCTAGTGAAAAGTCTTATGGTACACTTCCCACTTGACTATGCATTGTCTTGCATTTGTTATTTTGTGTCCCAACAACCTTAGCATTCTGAGGTGTGTGGGTGTATGTGCGCATACATAGAAGCCATTAAATGATCAACATTTGCCAATCATTGTCCCAGTTACCACAGATATCTCCTGTCCTAAGCATAGAGGAATATGTGGTAATCTGGCTCTCTGTGTGGTAAGATCTGGCAAACCCAGACATTTTGATGTGAACCAGCATTGCAGGTATTTAATCATTGGTCAGATTCATTGTGTAGTCAAGCTTGAGGTTTATTCTCTTTCCCCTTTGCAGAATCCAGTAATTCAAGTGAAGTTTTTGTCTGGGAGACAGGACAGTCTTCCTTCAGGCATTTTCAGTCCCTTTCTTCTAGCGCTATAAACAAAATCCACACCTTCATGCCTCCTTCGGGTTTAGGTAAGTTTTAGGTGACTACAGTCCTTGTTCCAATAGCAGCTTTTACACTGGTGGTAGGACCTTACTGAAAATAGTGCTAAGAAAATGTGGTAGCTGCATGTCAGTCCATCATTTTTCTGGTGATGTGAATCAGCACCAAACAAATTACAATGACACACAGAAAGGATGGGAGACCTTGCAGCTCAAAATAACAAAAATACTCCAGAAGTAAGGCAATGTTGCAAATACATAAACATAATTACTCTGGTGGTGATGCAGCAGGTTTAGTTAAGGCCTTTGTTTGAGAGAGACTGTGCGCTTAATTGGGTTCCTGATTTGACAGAGCTCCAAGGTGCCTGATGACCTCCAAAAGACAGAAAGGATGACCTCTGGCTTATGGAGTAATGTTGACAGCAGATCTGGAAGAAACAGGCAGAAGCAGATGGGGAGTGTACTAAATGTGACTACTATACAAATAATAACGGGGACTGCCCTTTCTTGGCCAGAGCACGTTTCAGTTTTTTTAAATATGGTTTCCCACACTGAAATAACTTATTTGGGCCTACAGTAACTCCTCATTTAACACTGTAGTTATGTTCCTGAAAAATTAGACATTAAGCGAAATAATGCTAAGCGAATCCAATTTCCCCATAAGAATTAATGTAAATGTGTGCGGGGGGTTAGGTTCCAGGGAATTTTTTTTTGCCAGACAAAAGACATTTAAGGTGTGACCAGGTAAGTGAATATCCTCTGGTGCAGGTGTGGGCCAGCAACAGCCCCACTCCTAGGCCTGCAGAGTCCTCCCCGTGCAAGCTCTGAGGGATTGGGCTTGACACTGGAGCCAGGCAGAGCAAGCAAGTGGCAGCACATAGGAAGGGACACTGCACTGCATCCTTCCCCAGCACCCAATGGGGATGTCTCTGCTGGCCTCTGAGCAGCAGATCACACAAATGCCTGCTCCAGTTAGTCACTGAATGCCCCCCCACCTCCCAGGGTGCTGGGGAGACCAGTTGTCTCTTAGGGGAACCAATCTACCAGGTTGCATGGTATGCTCGGGACACACAGCACAGAGGCACTGGGTCTCTAGATCCTTGCAGAGCTGGAGACAGTCATAGGCTTCTGGGGCCACAGGCATCGACTTTTCAAACTGCCAGGGGTGCTCGATCTCTGACTCTGCCCCAGGTCCTGCCCCCACTCCACCCCTTCCCCCAAGGCCTCCACCCCACTCCCACCCCACCTCTAAACCCAGTTCCGCCCCCTCCCATGAGTGCACTGTGTCCTCGCTCCTCCCTGCTCCCTGCCAGCCTCCCTGCACACCATGAAACAACTGATTGTGGAGAGGGAGTGGGTGTTGATCCATGGGGCCCACCGGTGGGCAAGAGGTGCTGAGCGGGGGTGGAGGGCGTTATAACATTGCGCAACTTTAAACGAGCATGTTCTCTAATAGAACAGTGACTTAATAACGAAACTACATTAACCGGGATGACTTTAAGTGAGGAGTTACTGTATTCTGAACTCCCTTGCTGGAGTTACACTGATGTAAAACTGGTGTAAGTGGATCAACATCAGGTGCTTCTCTGCAGACATTCATTTAGGACTTGAAATTTAACTGCTGAAATAAATAAGTGAATAAAAAATACTGAACAAATGTTCTTTTGTCTCCGACCTTGTAAGCAAGACTGGTCAGAGAGTTCCTTTGAGCAAGCATCTCTGGGATTGCACGGAGAAAACTATTTCATTTGTCTCTGAGCTTTTCCTTTTATTTATTTTTTCTTCTTTTTTTAAATGCAGTCCATGTGCTACTAGCTGGTAAGGATAGATCAGCACTGTATTCCTGGAATTCAGAAGTAAACCAGTTCTCTCTCGTGCTGGAAGCACCTCCTGCTAATCATATCACTTCAGTTACTATGAGATCACTTAACTCCAACAAAAGTCTAATTGTTCTGTCCGGAGATTCTTACTCCCAGATTTATGAACTGACCAAAGTCTCCAATGAGTCAGATTTTATACCTAGGTAGGTTTCTCATTTTATACCTCTCATCTTGCAGCTTCTCTTCATTTTTAAAAATGTTTCTTGTGGTATTTCTAGTTGCTGTTTTAGACTCCGGAGCATATTAGACTCTGGTCCTGTAAGTACACTGTGGGTAGAACTCTCATTGATATCACTAAGAGTTTTCAACATAAGGGCTGTTACAAAATCTATTGAAATCAATGAGTGTCCCTTAGTGGATTTCAGAGTAACAGCCGTGTTAGTCTGTATTCGCAAAAAGAAAAGGAGTACTTGTGGCAATTTAGAGACTAACCAATTTATTTGAGCATGAGCTTTCGTGAGCTACAGCTCACTTCATCGGATGCATACTGTGGAAACTGCAGAAGACATTATATACACAGAGACCATGAAACAATACCTCCTCCCACCCCACTCTCCTGCTGGTAATAGCTTATCTAAAGTGATCATCAAGTTGAGCCATTTCCAGCAGAAATCCAGGTTTTCTCACCCTCCGCGCCCCCCCCCCCCAACTCACTCTCCTGCTGGTAATAGCCCATCCAAAGTGACTACTCTCTTTAAAATGTGTATGATAATCAAGGTGGGCCATTTCCAGCACAAATCCAGGTTTTCTCACCCCCCCACCCCATTCCAAAAACCACACACACAAACTCACTCTCCTGCTGGTAATAGCTTATCCAAAGTGACCACTCTCCTCACAATGTGTATGAAAATCAAGGTGGGCCATTTCCAGCACAAATACAGGTTTTCTCACCCCCCACCCCCTTTTTTTCAAAAAAACACATACACAAAAACTCACTCTCCTGCTGGTAATAGCTTATCCAAAGCGACCACTCTCCCTACAATGTGCATGATAATCAAGGTGGGCCATTTCCAGCACAAATCCAGGTTTTCTCACCCCCACCCCCCCGTACCACACAAACTCACTCTCCTGCTAGTAATAGCTCATCCAAAGTAACCACTCTCCCTACAATGTGCATGATAATCAAGGTGGGCCATTTCCAGCACAAATCCAGGTTTTCTCACCCCCCCCCGCCCCACACAAACTCACTCTCCTGCTGGCAATAGCTCATCCAAACTGACCACTCTCCTTACAATGTGCATGATAATCAAGGTGGGCCATTTCCAGCATAAATCCAAGTTTAACCAGAACGTCGGGGGGCATGTAGTGCTTGCAATTATGTTCCTTACTCTTGTGTTTATATATTTTAAAAAAAACATTTATTGTGGTTGAATGAGGATCCCACTCATCATAAATTTTTGGTCCTGTTTAATTACTTGGATTCATTGAGAAAGACAAGTGGGTGAGGTTGTATTATGATTCATTGTTATTTTCTTTCTATAAAAAACCCTTTCAAGTCAAATTACCCTTTGATCAATAAAAACATTAATTCAGACTCTTAAAAAAGCCCTTGACGTTTTCAAGTCCAGTCTTCTATATTTCTTAATTTTGAACCTTAATATTCCTCTTTTCGTATCACATTCGTGTTGTACTTCTTACTTTTTATAATTTTAACCCAAACGTATAAATTTATGAATTTATACTGTATAACATTTATGGATGGTTTGTGTATTACAAACTTTTGGTGTTATCTCTATCCCCTGAGTTAGTTATTTCCCTCATTTTTAAGATCAGTGTTCCAGTTTTTGTCTCTTCATTGATGTTTTCATTTGTATGCACCCATATCAGTTTATGCATCTCTTTAATTCTCTTTCATCCATTATAAGTAAGGCTGGATGTTCGTCATGACAGAAACCATGACAGGGTTTTTTTAATAAAATGTCTTAGTATTTGTTTCCCTGACAAATCTAACCCTTAACTAAGGAAGATTCTTAATTTTTTTTTTTTTAAAACTTACTGCGTTTATGTCTAGTGTGTTACAGGATGGAATATGATTTTAAACTTTCAAATAAGGAATTTTAAGTTAAATCTCACGATTTCTTGTGAAAAATAATTAAATGTTACTACAAATTTTGTGGGCCATGTCTTTACCTTTTTTAAAACTGAAATTATGACACTTGTATTTCTTTCATGAAAAAGCCATGATTATTCCCCATTTTGCTGCAACAAACTACTCTTAATTATAATCATTTTGTGTGTGTGTTTTTATGCCAGTTCAGGTGAATTGATATTTGATCCTGGAGACATGGAAGTTGTGCTGGCAGTTAATATCCTTGATGATGTAATCCCAGAAGAAGAAGAATTTTTCACAGTGTGGCTGAAAAACCCCAAAGGAGGTGCAGAGATTGGTGCTAGTGGTTATGTTAACATAATTATTCCATCTAATGACAATGCTCATGGAGTCATTGCATTTGCTCAGGTAACAATACTAAATTAAGTCATGAGAATACAGATATACTTTGTCCAGAACCAAGAACGCTAACATGTAAAAACTGTAAACAGAAAAGGTGATGGGCCTGATTCTCCATTGCCTTTTATCATTGTAATTTAGTTTTGCTTTATACCCATTCAGCATCGATGTAAGTGACTCAGCAGGGTGCAAGGTAATACAAAACAGTTCCAGTAGCTGTACCTTGTGTGAGATTTTAATTTCTTAATAAGTGTTGGTCTGAGTAATATAAAGTCCGTTAACCTTAAAAAAAAAAATCTGTTCCAGAGTCCAGTGTTTGAATGGCTGGAGAGGTGAGAATTTACAGAAATCTGTAGGACCTTTTACCGCATCCCAACAGGCTTGTTAATTTATATAATGGAGTGAGCTGAGATAATTTCCAGGTCCAGCTCTGCTGTGTTCCTGTCTCTTTGGCTATCCCTAGATTTGAGGATGATGTCTGCCAAGGGGGTTCATTGGTGGGTTTTTAGGTGGCTGAAGAGCCCAATTTGTGCCCTGCAGATTTTTCCACAGAAGTGACAGGTGTAATCTTGGAGGAGACATAGTTGTTGGCTGGAGTGTTGTGCCCTTTCTTTCCTCCTTTGTCACTTCTCTGTCTCATGAGTATGTCTGTGGCTTGGCGTATGGTGTGGTACCACTGTGTTCTGTTCTGCGCCAAGTCCTCCCAGTTTGTTGGGTTGATGTTTAAGTTTAACGTGCACTTTCAGTATGTGCTTCCACTGCCCTCCGCGAACCCTTTTCTCCTGACTTAACTGAGAGAAGAGTACTTGTTTTGGGAGGCACAAAGAGTAGTTTGTGCAGGTGAGGGCTGATAGAGTACCTTGGTTTTCCGGATGTTGAGAGAGAGAGAGACCCAGGCTGTGATAGACACCTACAAAACGGTTTAGGGTATTTTGCAGGTTGGCCTCTGTGTGTGTGAGGGTGATGCAATCATCTGCATACTGAAGGTCAGTGGTGCCAATTCTTGCGGTCTTAGATTTTGTTTGGATACGTCAGAGATTGAGAAATTGGTCCTCCATACAATAATCAATCCCAATTCCGTAAAGTAGAGTTCATGGATGAGGATTAGGATCACGGCAAGGTAAATGGCGAAGAGTGCTAGACCAATGACACAGCCTTGCTTGTCACCAGTGCGAATGATGAATGGTTTGGTCTCTAAGCCAATGCACAGAAAGGTGGCAGTCATCCCATCATAGAGTAATCTGATGATGGAAATGAATTTCTGTGGACAGCCAAACCTACACAGCATCTTCCATAGGGCATCACAATTGATAGAGTCAAAGGCCTTGGATAGGTTGATGAATGCCATGAACAGTTCCTGGTGTTGCTATCTGCACTTCTTCTGAATCTGTCGGACCACAGAGATCATGTTGGTTGTGCCTCAGGATAGCCTGAAGCCGCATTGTGATTCGGGGAGAAGTTCCTTGGCAAGGAGAAGGAGCTGGTTTAATAGGATCTGGGCAAGGATCTTCCTTGCGATGGAGAGGAGGGCAATACCTTTATAGTTCCTGCACAAAGATTTGTCTCCTTCCTTGAATATTGTAACAATGTTGTCATTCTTAGTCAGGTGGAATTTCTTCGCAGCTCCAGGAGTTGGCAAAGCATTGTTCTACCAGCTTTAAAAGCCTCAGCAGGGATGTCGTCTGGGCCTGGTGCCTTGTGATTTTTTCTCTGGGTGATGGTTCGCCTGACTTCCTCAGAAGATGGGGGATCATCAAGGTCTTCCATTGCTGAGTGTTGTGGAATGAACTTGATGGTGTCTTCAGAGACCATGGAGTCGCAGTTTAGAAGGCTCTCAAAGTGCTCCTTCCAGCGTTGTTTAATGACTGCATTGTCCATGCTGGGAATGTAAGAGGCTTGGCCTTTGGATCTTGACCCATATCTGGCTTTTGTTGCTTGAAAGAAGCTTCTTAAGTAATCCTGGTTTACCAAACTCTGGATCTCAGAGGCCTTCTCTCGCTACCACTTGTTTTTGATGTTACGTAGCCTCCTTTGGACTTCGGCTTTGAGCAGGTGAAAGGCTTCATGTTTTTGTTAGTTCGAGGAATCATTTTGCCACTTACAGAATGCTCCTGTTTACCACCTAGAACAAAGATATTTGGGCGGGTGGCAGTTCTCGGTTAGCATGGAAACTGTAGGACTAGGACAAAGCATTCTGGGAAAGCATACTAGAAGTGTTTTTCTAAAAGATATACTTTAGTTCAAACAGAAGTTGTGGACTTGGAATTATTGGGTGAAATTCAATGGGCTGTGTTATGCGGTAGCTCATGCTAGATTATCCTAATGGTCCCTCCTTTAAAATCTATAAATCTGTGAAAGCGGGAAGAGATCTAAGCAACCTACTTTTCATCAGTATGAAAGAGACTGAAGGGATCAGGACCAGCAGTGGAAAGGGCTGGGGAATAAGCAGAGCAGCAGATGGAAAAGGAGTACCTCTGGCAGTTAATGGGTACTTTGTGGGATAGACCTGGGAATGCTAATAGAGCCCACATCAAATTCCTATTCTTTGGAATGACCACCCCTAGAATGCTTCTGTTCTGGAGAGAAATCACTATCAAGGGAGACCTGAACTGAGAACGCATCTTAAAGGGCCAGGTTGACCTAGGACAGGTATGTACAAATCTGTGCAAAGCTATCATGCAAAGGGAAATAGAAGCCACAGGAAATCTGGAGAGAGTGCTGTCATGCAGATAGACCCACAATGCACCCTCAGGTACCACAGAATCAACTGGCAAGAACACAGTAAGCTCTGGCTGGAAAATTGTATACATAGCAAGTACTCCCTAAATCAAATGCTGCAATTTGAAAAAAAAAATCTAAGATAAACTGAATCTGCCTTGGAAGTTCCCCACGTTTCTCAGCCATTTTAAAACTAATCCGGTGATGAAATCATCGTAGCAAAAAAGTTCAAACTTGGATACTTAGCATGAGGCCCTTAAATACATATTTAGGCACTGCCCAATTTGTTTGTTTGTTTGTTTGTTTATTTATTTATTTTATTTAAATATGTCCATGGGAGCTTTACGGGCTTAGCACCTCTGAAAATTAGGTCACTTCCCCATAAGTGTGCAAATATGGATTTACGTACTTAACATAGGGGATACAAGTTTTAAAATTTTCTTCCAAATGCCTCAAGATCATTTTGAGTATTTAATATAGGATCTCTTCCTGTGTTTTCTAGCCATTCAAATAATTAATTTGTATGGTTGTACTATATTTGTACGTTTCCAGAATTCTTTATCTAAGCAAGTTGAAGAAATGGAACAAGACAACTTAATCACCTTGAATATTGAACGTTTAATAGGAATGTATGGCCGAGTTACAGTACAGTGGATAGCCAATGGGAGCATTAATGATATATTTCCAGCATCAGGAATGGTATGTATTAATTTTGCTGAAATTAGTGAAGCACTGATTTAAAAATACTTTATAAAATATCCCAAGTCTTAGCTGTTGTCCCTTCTTGGAGTGCCCAAGTATGGTAGAACCCTTATTCCTCTCTCCTCAGTGCATAGTGACCCACCTTAGGACCAATGGGCCCTGGGTTCTTCGGGCCCAGCTCCACCTAGTGGTTGGGTGCATAAACTAATAGACAAATCCTGTGACTTCTAGGACATTACAAATTATAGATCCAAGAAATCAAGGGCCAACAGATTATGAAGATATACAACAATTATTCCTGGAAAGACATAAAATCAGAGAAAAGACAGAGAATTGGGTCAAGGGGGCAGGCAGATAATCAAGTATATCAAATAAATGACGGAGCAACCATTCCACCAAAATAAACACTCTTTCCCTCAAAAGCCCACAACAAAGTGAAAGTAAATAGAATGCTCCCTAAAGTCTCCCTGTAGGCTTTAGCTAGCTGGCGGAGCAGGACCTTGAAAAAGGGTGTGGTGTCCTTCACTGAGGCCTGGTTTACACTGAGGGGGGATCGATCTAAGTTACGCAACTTCATCTACGTGAATAACTTATCTAAAGTCGACATACTTAGACCTACTCACCATGGTGTCTTAACTGCGGTGAGTCGACTGCTGCCGCTCCCCGTTGACTCCGCTTGCGCCTCTCATTGCAGTGGAGTACAGGAATCGATGGGAGAGCGCTCGGGGGTCGATTTATTGCGTCTAGACTGGACGCGATAAATCGACCCCCACTGGATCGATCGCTATCTGTCGATCTGGCGGGTAGTATAGACATACCCTGAGAAGCTCTGGCCATTCTCCAGCTCTAGTGCTGTGGAGGTCTAGTGGGTGCAGCCGCCAGTCAGTGCTTTTTTGCAAGGTGGAGTCTTGGAGCTCAGTCTCTTGTGGAGTGGACTGCACCTGGTCACTCAAGTCCTGTTCATCCCTTGGATCCCAATGCAGCGGGAAGCCTACAGGTCTCAGCAGGCAGGCTGCCCTTTCAGGTCAAGACAGATTCTGGACCTCTGCTGCACAGAGAAGTTCAGGAACTGCATCCTCTTTTGCTACTGGAACCTGACTCTCTGCATCCAGCTCTGTCTCAGAGTCCTCAATGACTTTCAACACCCAGGCTCAGCTCAATCTCCTGGCAGTCCCAGTCATGTGCAAGCTCTCCGGGTCTGCAGTTGGTCACCTGGGTGGGCCATCAGGCTCTGGCCTAGCCCCCTTTGTCTGTTTTTGTGTCTCGAGCACAGTGAGGCAGACAGCCTCTGTTTCAGTTCCCTTAGTCTCTCTGCCGCTGTTTGTGGAAGCTGTTTTTTCTGAAGTCCCCCAGAATGTTACGGGAGGCTACATGGTTATTTTAAATGTGATCAATTCATCTATTTATACATATATTTAAAAATATTATAGTGACAACTTAAAACAATAATATAATTGTCAAAAATGGATTATAGATGGGTGAATAATAAACTTCATGTTCAGCAAATAGTTTATTTGAAAAAAAAATCATGACATTAGTCAACTAAGTTGTCAGTTGAATATTATCCAGCAAGCACTAGTATTGACACTGTGCCCCTAAAATCAACATTTGTAGTTAGGGGAGTGGAGGGGTTTGGGGTTTTCAGCAACTTACTGACTTTCTCTGCTTCTTGACTTAGACAAAGCAGGAAAGCAAAGTGTTTGGCACAAAAAGCCGCAATGCAGTTGTATTATTGAGTTATTCTGCTGACATATAGGTCCAGATTTTCAAAATGGGTGTTTTAGACACTTAAGTCTGTTTTTAAGAGATCCAGATAAAAACGGCTTGATTTTCAGATGTGCTGAAGTCATTGAGAGTTGTGGGTACTCAGCATCTCCAAAACTCAGGCCAGTGTTAGTTAAGAACTATTTCTCCCTCCCTGTGTTTCTGATGGTTTTGCCCCAATTAAACAGCATGCATTTTTCCAAAGTGACTCTCTTTTTGCTGTTTGCTGTCAGTGTTGCTAACCTCTCTGGAGCCCTTTCAGTTATTTTTCTGTCTTCAGTGGTGTCACACCACCTCCGAGTTCAGTATCATTTGCATATTTTGTTAATGCTCTGTTCACACTTTTTTCACTGATGGATTTTTACAAAAGCAAATATTGGTGAAGGTGCTTAAAATAATAGTATGGAAAAAAATGTTTCACCTGTTTTTTTTTTACTTTTTAGATAACATTTTCAGAAGGTCAGGCCCTGTCCACAATCACCCTGACTGTTCTTGCGGACAACATTGCAGAGCTTTCTGAAACTGTTGTTATAACATTCACCCATGTCACTACTGTGGGTATTAAGGATCCCATGAGAGGAGCCATCATAGACCCTAAGAGAGCACGAGCTGTGCTTACCATTTTGCCTAATGATTCTCCCTACGGTGTAGTTGGCTGGCATACGGACTCTCTCTTTGCTAAAGTAGCAGAGCCTGAAGGTAAGTCAGTCTTAAGTTCCTGCTAAGAAGCTAAAATAATGGCATACTAAAGTATGTCATCTTTAGACGTTCTGATGTTAATTATGTGAGTTTTTAATGACTAACATTCTAAATTTTTAAAAATAATTTAAGTTTGAGCAAAAACCAAAAGAACAGCAGTAACAACTCAGTGACAAACAGAAGTGGTCCCACAGCAGTCAAAAAACATCCTTAGAAATACAAAACTATGCAACTTTCCTGCGTATAGGATATTTCATATGCACTGTAAATAAAGCCTCTCCAGTTATTTTTGCAAGTTGATTGAGATGTTAACTTGACTTATGTTACTTTCACTAATAAACAGAATCATTCCCTTATTTTGCTAAAAACTATGGTGTCTTGTCTTGTATGCATGGCACTAGAAAGTAAGATTATTCTTAGTGCATACTATTGCCTTCTTACAAATTGCTGCATATTAAATATTTGTCTTTAAACTTAAGAATATAGGTTTTCAGGGAAACTTTGCCTTCACTGGTTACACATTTCCTCTTTCTGCTCTGCAATGTCATTATCACCTTTAGATATTACGAACTGTATGCCACAAATTTGTTAACTATAAAAATAAACTAATTAAAGGCAAATGGCCTGATCCTGCTGGCATCCACTGCTATGCCGGTAGCTGCCAGACAACAGAAAATCTTTGGAGGGGAGATGGCACGGGAGGCTGCTGCTGATCCCAAGCAGTGAACGCAACTGTCCATTCACATGCTCTGTGACTTGTGGTGGGGACAAACAGGGATGTAGGTACGGGGAAAAGCAGTACCACCTCCGCTGTGATGTTGGTGCAGTCATACTCGATTCTGGAACTTTGCTGGAGTCCTGCAGAGCGAGCTATTGTAAGTTGGGCTTATAGGGCTGTTTGGACTGTGTGCAGAGCCACAGTGGTCTTCACTTGAAGACTTTTCCCTACTCCATATTGTCCATCGGCAGTTACTGTTCCTGTCGAGCTCACATCCTTTCCCCTGACAGCTTAGCTCCACCACTACGGTTTTTCCCATCTCCTTTCCCTGCCATCAGGCTCCCATTCTGTCCATCTCCTGCCTCAGATTTTTCTCCTTCCAACTGCTTCTTTGACATTGACATCCCATCACCTCTCATCTCTTACAGTTTCAGAAACCCTCTGCCTAGCCTCCCAATCTTCCTTCCATGCACAAGCAGCTACAGCTGGTCTGAAAAATTCTGGCAAAATATTATTTCATTGGAACTTGCCGATTTGGTGAAATTGAAATGAAGCTCTGGCAGAACCCAGACACCAGTTTGCCCACCTTGCTTCTTGGTAGCCAACTGGGAGTTGGGCTGACCCAGGGGTCAGGTAGCTCTGGGATTCCCAGGGTCCCATCTCCTCAGCCGCCCAATTGGCTGGGGCTCCCAGGGCTTCCAGGCTTCTGGCTCCCCATCTGCCCACCACGTAGAATTTTGTTTAGAAAATATCGAGACGAAACGTTTTGATTTTTCAAAATGCCTTTTTCCAGATTTCTATTTTTGCAGGATTTCAAGATTTCTGAAGTTGTTTTTGTTCCAAATTGAAACAAAAATACATTTGAAATTCTCCACAAAACAGAAATCTGAAGAAAAAAATCATTTTGAAAAAATCACCCAGTTCTCCACCCAGCATTAATAGCAGAGACCCCACCTGAAAACTTTTCCTCTACAAGGAGAGTTCCCCTTGCTTCCATCTCCCTACCAGACATGGTTTTTTTTCCCCCACTCTTGTCTCTACCAGCAGGGCTATCAGGATTCATCCACAGCTTCCATCCTGGAAGTTCTCCAAAGACAGAGGAAAACAGTCTGTTGTGTGCCCTTTTCCGTGCATGAAATATGCTTTTAGGAGCCTGGCCCCTCATCCTTCCCTGCCACAGTTTCTCAGTCAAAGGTGTAGTGTGTAATCAAGTTGAATTTTGTAATAACTTATGTGTTCTATACATATGTATAAAACACATTCCCCATGCTTCTTCATTACAATGATTTGTGTTTGGCATCTGATAATTTATTGGAGTTTAATCTGTAAATTATTCCTTTTTTTAGTATTTCAGAGCATGTTGTATTTAGGGCTTTTCCAGATGAAAAGTAATGGAAATGGACACTACATTGCAGCTCAATATTTACAAGCAAAAACATACACTAGTTACCTTTTTCCCTCCGTTTGTCTTACCCTTAGCCTTCCTGGTTTGTTTCTTTTATCCACTTTTATCCACCCCTCCTGCCCTAGATACAGGACTTCCAGGCACTCCCTAGGTGTTCTGCAATTTCTTGGACTCTGGTGAAAATGTAGTTTCCCAAAGGGGATCTGAGTCATCACCAATATGAGTGCATTTCCTTTTCTGGGGAATTTGAGATTTAGACATGCACGAATAAAGGGCAATCCCTGAGTATCACCACCAGAGTCACTGCCACAGAGGTTGTTTCCTATATCAGTATCAGTAATGACTTCAGAATTATTTAAAATGCATGAAGGGCACTCAAAACAGGGCACTAGAGGGAGCGGGGAACTGACTGAGAATGTGTACATTAAAGTAAAGATTTTGTATCGCAAAATTCAATTCTTATGTTTCTCAAAAAATTTTCGTCTCAGAATGCTACCCGCCCCTGCATTCTGTGCAGAGATTCAAATATCCCTTATGCGCTTTCAAACAGCTTGAGTTACTAAATTTTTAGGTATAGAGTGCACTGGTTGTGATGTTGAACATGAATTCGTGCTCTAACATTCCATTGATTTCAGTGAATGATTAACAGGATAATTCTAGCACAGTGAGATGAAGTGGAAAACCAGCAGGGAAAGGGTTAGAGCAATCATATGTTGATGGGTTTTTACCAGAGCTAATATAGATTTCTTTCCCATTTCATCTTGCAGAGAATCCTACTATTGTTACTTTACAAATTCTTCGAGAACAAGGATTTGTTGGAGATATTGCAGTACAGTTGAGCGCCAAACCTAATTTTGCCCTTCAGCCTTTCAACCAAGCCACGGAGAATAAGGATTATGTGATAGAAAAAGAAACAATAATTATGGCAGAGAACACAATCACGACTTACGTTATAGTCACCATTTTGCCTGTGAGTAATTGAAAAGAAGACAAGTTTTTGTTATATTTTAAGGAAGATTATAGTGTAGGTTCTGTCCAGGGGCAAAAGGAAAAGTGTAACATTCTATAAGTATTGTAGGAGGAAAATTGGCTCATTAAATCTGTTTCAGCAGAGTCTGGACACTGGTAACTAGTTTGTGAGCAATCCAAATCCTTTGCTTTGTTTACTGTGAAATGAGTAATTTGGTTTTATGGAAACTTGTTTGTGGTGAATTTTAAACTCTCTCAGGAACATGTTGGGTTATAAATTTGGCACAACTTCAATCTGTGTAAAATAATGTATTTCACTTTTTGCCTTTTAACAGATTTATTGTTCAGATTTAAAAAAAACATCAATTGATTGGGGCCCCTAGACTTTATCATGACCAATAAAAATGTGTTTTTATAGGATGTTCAAAGTCCTTCAGGTCCTCCTAGTCAGCAGTGTTTTCAGAAATCCTTTCCCCCCTTTTCATAGGCGATGTGATGTGAGGCAGGGAATTAGTTATTTAATCTCAACTGCCGTGGTTTTACCTGATTCTGCTCAGTCAGCAGCCAGTCAGTTTCCTCCTTTCATAATATCCATCTTATAACATGAACTTACAATCGGGGTGACGTTTTAAAAACATTTTCACAGGATAATGTTCCAGAATTACTGGAAGGATTTGTAGTCAATATTACTGATGTGCATCTGGTAGATTCTTCTCTTGCTGAAGGGCAGCCAAGTGTGAAGAGACTTGGGTTAGAAATAGCTGAGGTAACAATTGAAGAGAATGATGACCCCAGAGGAATATTTAGTTTCAATGTTGTGAAGGTAAGACTGAATTTTAAACATTTACTATTGTATTCTAGCAGTAGGTTCTGTGTTTTCAGGCTGCATTTAAAAATAGTCTTTAAAAGATTTCTAGCACTAAACATCAGTTACATTGACCAGATACTGGACTAGCAATTTCTATACAAAAGTTTTCTTGCTGCTAATGATACTTAGTTCATGAGAGCATTGGAATTGCTAAAACACTCGTGGGTTATTTTTACCCTAACTACATCAGATTAACAATTTGATCTTTCTATAATTATAATACTACTACTAATAATAATCAATATTGCTGTCTTGTTTTATAGATTATATAGAAAGGGGCTAACTCATTACTTTAACGCATAGCCCCTCACTTTTGGCTACTTTTGAACATTTTGGTATCAGTCTTTTTGCAGGGGATGAGAAAAGAGAAACACATTTGCCTTGGCACTCAACATGTTTTCTGAATTTTCAGGATTTTAGTGGCGCAGTTGCTGGTTATGAGGTGCCTCCACCACAGAATATACTGAAGCTGCCAGTTGTTCGGAAGGCTGGGAGGTTTGGGTCAGTAAAACTATACTGGGAAGCCATGCCTGCCAGCGCTAGCGTGGAAGACTTTACGCCATCATTTGGAAACCTTACATTTGCAGATGGACAAGTATGATGTTGCTGAAAATATAAACATTTCTGAGTTAAGAAGTCTCAGGGTCTTTTGCATTTGTTTCCTTTAAAAGATAGGAGTGTACATTTCAGAGCACATTTCTGCTTACTATTTGTGGTCCAAATCCTGTGAACATGTACACAGGAACTTAACTTTAGGCACATGCATAGTCAGTCCCATTGACTTTAATGGCACTACTCAGGTACTTAAAGGGAAATATAAGTGTTTGCCACATTGGGGGTCTATGTCTTTACACCTCCACCAGTAAAAAACAAAAAACAAAAAAAAAATCCTTATTTTTTCCTGATAAGTGGGAAACTCATAATTAGCCCATGTTTTGTGTGGACTTACACAATGAATTTGTATGTTTCTTTAGCTGCATTGTTAGATTTCACATCACACTTGGAGAGACAAAGTGTGCACTCTTAGGGGTGGCTGATTTCATGTGATGGAAAATGGACCTTGGCAAACAATGGTATACTTTGTGAACAAAATCATGTTTAGAGCCAAATATAATACATTCTGTGTACTACTTCATACTAAAAACATATGGCAGAAGAGATAAGCAGGAGCCATTCAGTCCGAACACCTTTTCATATTTGCAGCATGGGGGCCAGGGATAACAAATTAGAGAAGGCGTTGGCAATTTTCAATGTATACCATTGTGGGTTTTTTGTATTAGTGTGAAAAAGGGTGCCTGTCAAATTAAATTGTTTAAATAATTTACTAATTAAAACAATCCGTTTTCTGATCACCCTTGGAATAGTTAAAAGAATCCATCCAAATTTTCATAACTGTTTTTTCTGCTTCCTTCCTGTTGTTGAAAAGTACTTCTTGGATGGGTCCAAGAGCTGTAATAGTTCTGCATAAGTTCTGCATCTTACCCCTTCCTCTCTGTGCTGTGAAAATGCTTGCCTGCCAGCTTCTCAGTTTCACATTCAGCTTTGCTGCTGCTGCTATTAATGGTCGACACCCTCTTGCAGGGCCTAGGAAAGTATGTGCACCTGAGCTTCTTCAAGAGCAGTGTGTGAGGCAGGAAGTGTGAATGACTATCAACAAAACTGTGCTGTCAAATATACAAAGTGAAGAAACTGAAAAGTGGTTGTTTTTTTTTTGTCTAATGACTTTTAGTAATATTGATCTTTACTTGTAATAATAGTAAGCCCAAAATTTCCGTATGGAAATGTGATTATTAAGTTCATAGTATTACTTTTAATTCACAGTATATTGGGATTTCAGTAGGTTAAATTCCTCACAATTTTAATAGGAATCCAGAAAGTTTGCATAAATGAGTTTTAAATATATTTCCAACATTTTGGTATGGTTTTGTTTTCAAAAGCCAAATATATAAATAAATAAATAAGCAAGTTTGTGAGCCAAACTAAAACCATTTAGTAATCCTTTACAACTTACAAAATCTAAGACTTAATTTTTCTGAGTTTCATTCATAAAATAAAATAGACTGAATTCACTGTTGTATCCTGTATTGTTTTATTGGTTCTCGTTTTTTTTGCAGGCTGCAGGGGTGATAGAGATCACAATCATAGATGACACTGCAATAGAATTTTTAGAGCTGTTCAACGTCACTTTAATCAGGGTGACAGGTGGTGCCAGACTTGGGGATGACACCGTGGTGACTGTCACTATTCCACCAAATGACTCTCCTGTTGGCGTGTTTGGGTTCGAAGAAAAGAATGTAAGTATGAGCAACACGGTGCAGTTTTAAGCATAAGCAGGAAGAATGTTATGTATCATCAACCACATAGTTTCTTAGAGTCAATTATCAATGTGCAGATTTTCCTGAACGTAGCTTTCAGCAATGCAGACGGTTAAACATTTTATATTTGTACAAAATGTCATTTCTACAGCCCAGCATCTCCCACAGTTCTTGCTATCGGGGCTGCTCTGCTCACCCTTGCAACTCACAGAGGTGAATCAGTGTTTTGGCACCACTGCTCTATTCGCACCCCCTCTGCTTGTGCTTCTGGCCAGATTCTCTGCCTCCACAGCAGCATGCAGATGGTAGTTCCAGTGCTCCTTTCTTTCATCTGCCTAAAGGGGTATTTTTTGACAAATTCTGGGGCAGATGTGAGCAGTGTTCTCACTCCCTTACTCCGCCCACTGGGCCAGGTTTTAGTCGGCTGTTGGAATCCAGGTGAAGTCTCCTCTGCAGTGCCTCCCTGCTAGCTCCCCCACATCCTTTTAGGGATGGGAGAGCTGCCTAGAAAGCACTGAGAGAAATCCAAATGGAGCTCCATCTGTGAAACTGCCTTCCCGAGCTCAGCAGATGGTGAGTTGTACCAAGCCTGCATTCAGTCTTCCATTCCTAACTCTGTTAGGTACTGGGGCTATGAGTCGGACTGGCATGTGGGGTCTTCTACCCACCAGAACAGCCGCATCTCCAAAATGGAAAATACAGACCTGGAATCTCTGTGCAGAACAGGGAGAGGCTCCAAGGATGAGGAGGACCGCAGTCAGCTGATTCGGGCGTAAGTCCTAAGAGGCCCCTGGAGAACAGAGAGGGGAGACTTGTAGAGGTCACAAGTCTTAAAATGGGTCTTGAGTGTCTTGGGGAAAGAACCAGGGGACAGCCCCCCTTCCCAATTCGGCCAGAGGGCTGTGGAAATGTTTCCCTTCCCTCTCCCTGCGGGAATGGGCCCCAGTAGGTGAGGACTCAGAAAGGGATCTCACAAGAGGTCTCCAGGCCTCTAGGAAAGCTAGCTGCAAAAGGCCTTACCAAAGCCATACTGGAGCTCATATGGTCTCTAAGTAAGCAAAAAAGTGAAAAAAAATCAAAAAAGGGGAAGAAAAAGCCTAAAAGATGTAGGAGGTATGAATCCTGTGATGTTTTCTCCACCGAGGATGGTGAATTGTCAGGCTCTGACTCCGATCAGGACTGGGGAAAGTCTTAGCAAAGCTGTTTTCTCCCTGAGAAATTTGTGGCCATGTACAACAAGGTTGTATCCACTCTTCAGATTCAACCCATACAGATCCCTGAGAGTAAGCCACAGAGCAAATTTCTCCCCTTGAAATCCTCCCTTGAGACAGCGATTCCCTTACACTCCTCCTTTGAGGAAATAATCAGGGATGAATGGGGTAAGCCAGACCACATTGTGAAAAATCACCATAAAATTCTACGAGATCCAGGAACCAAAGGATCAGATTACCGAGATCTTGAAGACTCATGCTACCGTAGCCTCCCTGGCAAGAGATATGGTTATTCCCTCCGAACACCATAGTTAGAAACAATGGAGGCCACTCTCAAAAAAGACTTTGAAGTCTCTTCAGCCTTCCTCCAGGCATCTGTAGCAGCTACTTGCTTTGCAAGCTCTTCTCCCTCCTGGCTGGAAGATCTCAGAGCCCTCAAGAGTAGAGATCACCCTGACTTTGGCTCATTTTAAAGAAAGTTTCCCTAGCAACATCATCTGTTGCAGAGGCTTCAGTGGATGCTATGAGAGTCTCAAGCAAAGCTAGGGCCTCCAGCTCAGTGACCAGATGTCACCTATGGCTCGATCACTGAAAGATGGATAGCCACTCGAAATAATGTGCTGTGTTCTGCCAATTTTATGGGAGCCTTGCTTTTGAGAAATAAGCTTAGACAGTCAGGTGGCAGACAATGCTGCAAAACCTAAACAGTCCCTCCCAATGCCACATCCTGCCTCTAAGACAGAGTTCAGACTGGCCTTCAGACAAAGGCGCTCCTTTCAGCCTTCATCCTTGCAGAAATGCCAGCAAAGGGACAGCAAGTTCTCCAAAACAAAGCTCTGGAACCGTGGCTCCCGAGAAAAGCCCAGTGGGAACCCTGTTAGCCTGTTTATGACAGACCACCTACGTCTCTGCCTTGGGAATGGGACATAGACACTTTGATAGTAAGGATGTAGCCTTCTATAGAAAGGTTCCAGAAGATTCAGGACCTCCTTGCATTGTTCTGGAACTGCAAGAGACCCACTATGGCACTAGGCCTTGAACGGCTAGGCCTCCTAGTATCATGCATAGCGATCGCTCTATGGGCGCCATGATACATGAGGCACTTTCAAGGGGTCATTTTAAAGGTTTGGGACCACTCCCTTGGACGTATGAAGGATCAAGTGAAGGTTCTGGGGCATCAGGTGATCAATTCCTTAAAATGGTGGTCAGTCCAGGGCAATATCCACAAGATCCTCTGATTCTCACAAATGATGCCGGACTGGAAGGCTGAGACGCGCACTTGGAGTCCCAAACAGCCCAAAGCAACCTGGAGGAAAGGACCCACAGCAGAAACCTCCCAGGATAGGAGCAGTCAAACTGGAGTGACTAAGGTTCCAGTCCATCCTAGAGGGAAGCCACGTCCTGATTCAGTCAGACAACATGACCACAGTCACAAATAGGAACAACTAAGGGAGAACAAGAAGTCCAGCATTACATGCAAAAGTGATGGAAATCATGAAGTGGGCAGAACTTTTTCTCCCTCACGACAGTTCTCATAAAGGGAAACATGAATCAAAAAGTGGACTGGCTTAGCAGGTGGAAGGCGAACAACTTTGAGTGGTGCGTAAATCAGGAAGTCTTCAAGTTAATCGTTCAGTCATTCAGACTGCCCTCAACTGATCTATTCACAAACCACATGGATGTGAAGAAATCAAAGTACTTCACCAGGGAAGTAGCCCCCAGCTTCATGGGGACAGATGCCTATTGCAGAGATGGCCAGACGGCCTTCTCGTTGCATTTTCACCCTTCCTATTGTTAGCAAAGGTGGTCCAGAAAATAAAATCCGAGCGGCCAACTGTAATACTGGCAACCCCACACTGATTTTCGTATCTGATAGACCTGAAATTAGGAACACTACTACCTCTCCCAACAAGACAGGGAATCCTCTCACAAGGTCCTTTTCTTCATCCAGACCTGAACTGGCTGCATCTAACAGCCTGGTTATTAAAAGGGTTTTTGTTGGGTTTGCTAGTTTTGTTGGGTTTGCCCTCCAAAGTCATCAGGACACTTCTTCCTTCTAGAATAGTATTGACTGTGAAAGCACACTCCTCTATCTGGACTAAATTCAGCGTCAGGTATCAGGAAGCGAATCCTAGAAATCCAGCATTTCCGTCTATCTTCAAATTTCTTCAAGAAGGCTTTAACAAAGATCTCCAACCCAGCACCATTACACATCAGATGTCTGTCCTTGGTAGCGTGACATTCACAAGATCTGCAAACTCTCTGGCAGAGAATCTCCAATAGCCAGATTCCTTAGGGCAGTCCAATTAGCCAACCCAGCAATCAGGCCTCTTTTTCCCAAATAAGACTTGCCACTTGTATTGACAGCCCTCACAAACCACCTCTTTGAACCACTGATGCAGTGACAACATTTTATCAAAACTTGCTTCCTGATAGCCATCAGATCTGTCAGGTGAGTGTTGGAGCTGGTGACACTTACTGTGTATTTTTCATGAGGGGCTCAGAACTCTGGAATCATTTATCCTGAAAGTAAACTGTTCCTTCCATGTTTAACAAAAGGTGGATCTCTCTTCATTCGGCCAAGGCCACAGCATCCCAGCAAGGAGAGGTGGCACACTTTAGATACTAGAGGAACCTGAAAATTTGCCTCAAAAGTACAAAGCCCATGGGGAGATCAGATGCTCTTTGCGAATATTTCCACCCAAAATACCAAAGATTCAGAGCTTCCAAGTGCTCCATTGCTAGGAGGATTAAACTATGCAGCATGGAAGTGTAGAAGGCATTAGAGAGTTTAGTTCCAGAAGGGACTCAGGGCGTACTCCACACAATCCCTGGTGACCTTGTGGGAAGAAAGAACTAATGCACCCACAGCAGAAATTTGTAAGGTGGTCACCTGGTCAACTGCTACTACCTTTATTAAGCACTACAAGGTGGATTTCCTGTCCTCTGTAGAGGTGTCCTTTGGCAGAAAGGTGGTGCAGGTGGTAGTCCAGAAATGATTTTTGCCCTCTGAGAAAATGTTATAAGCAAGAAGGGATACCGCTTTTCCTTTTCTTTTGACCTTCTCTATAACCCTTTCTACATCTGTTCACTACTCACTACTTCCCAGATGTCAAGAACTGTGGGAGACACTAGACTGAAGAACGGAAAATTTCATATTGATAATTTCCTTTCCACTAGCCATGTCTCCCACAATTCTATCCATCCTAAATGGCTCAAGAGAGAAAAGGCCATATGCTGAGTGGGATCTGTACCATGCGACTGTATTTTTCCAGTTGTGATCCCCTGTACACAGTTGGTCAGTTACCTTTGAAGTATTTGTTACTAATATTGTTATACAAATTTGTACAGCTTTGGAATAATTTTTTTGGCCACAAGTGGGAGCAGATGGAGTGTGGCCAGAGCAGTGGCACCAAAATTTTGATCTACCTTCATGAGCTGCAAGAGTGAGCAGAGCAGTCTAGATGTCAAGAATTGTGGGAGATGCTGCTAACAGAAAGGAAATTCTCGGAAAGAAATTTTCAATTCTTGCATTTGGTCGTTAAGAGACATGATGTTTTTTCTTCTCCCCAATTGCTGAGTACAGTTTCATAAGCAAGAGACAGGCCTTAAGAAACATTTGGAATTTTGATTATTTTTTTACGGGGAGAGAAGGTGTTTTTGGAAGGGAGGTAAAAGGTAGCAGTTAATGAACAGAGGAGGAATTGTGAAAACAAATAATTAAATAGCCTATGAGAGAGATTGTGTTGGATACACGCGAACGCCAATGTTAAAAAAAAAAAAGCTGGCTTCCCTCGTGATTCAGGAAGAGAGAGAATCTATTTGCTTTTCAGTCTAGTTGAGTTTACGTCCAGTTCTGTCACATTATTCCCACATAATGATTGTGTGTGCATATATGTCGAGCAAAGGTCTCAGGAGCAAAGTTAACAGGTACTGTGATTTAAACTGCAGAGGGAGTTTTCACAAATACCTTGGTCTGTCTTGTTATGCTGTAATTTGGTTACTGTATTTAGTAGTCACAATTTTTTTTTAAATCACTGATCTCCCTTTTCCAGTAGGATTCTGGTTAGGAAGACCAGGGCTTGGTACCTGTGCTAGGCCTGCTTGTCAGAGCTCAGTGCTGAGTTGCCATGTTTTCCTAAGCCCCTTGTCTCAACTACTTCACACACAGATTGCAGACAGTCAGTAGCTGCAGCCTACAACATGGGTAGGTCCTCCCAGTACTGGCACTCCTGGTCCTGTGGCATGCTCAGAACCTTGAAAATCAAGCCTCTTTTTTTTAAATGAGCTTAAATGTGGATTTGGGAGCTTAGCTTTAGGCATTCAGGTTTGAAATATTGGCCTTATTGTGTAAGGCAAGAGTCAAGCTTGCCTCTATGGAATGGAGAGAAAAGAACGTAAGAGAAGAGGGAGGAAAAGAGGGGTTGCTCCTCTTCCGTATTGAAATCCATTGTAAAATATCCATTGACTTCAATGGCAGCAAGACTCGGCCTGGCAGGAGGGCAATAAATAAAGGATTTGAAATGTTTTCCCCATGCGCTCCACAATGCAAACCCCCCCTAAAATCAGCACTTTCCTTTACAGTTCTTTCGCAGCCCTGTGTTCTTCGATTATTTATTTATTTTTTCCTTCTCCACTAAATGCTGACAGTTTGGGGCTTCCTCTTGAAGTCATAAGAAGATAAGGGTGACATCTTTGTTTCTGGCTAATAGCTTCAAATTTAAGTACAGACACCAATCAGAACAACTAGATTATAGTAGCCAATTGGATTAGAGAAATTTATACAGTCACAGTGCATTAATTGAAAAATAACGATATAGAGATTATGTAAATCTTTGTACTCTGTAATAATGGCTGTCAAGAAATCAGTCAGATTCCCCTAAATTACGGTTATTGAGAAATAACAGTATAGTGGTCATGCTGATCAGACACTGAAAACAAATAAACATGCCAGGAACTGAATACATGGGGGTGGAAAATGTACAGTTATGAGTTATTGCCTTTATATTGTTCCTGTCCTATGAATGATTGAATCTATTCCATTTCAGTATTATAATAATTCCAGAGATTTCATGTGAGTTGCCTGAGTATCTGTTGAATATATTAATGATATATTGCAACAATGTTTTTCATAGAAATCAAAGATAGAAAAGGCCTGTAAATTTATCTAATCCTTTCTTTTTCTCGTGTTTGATTGTTCTCTACTGTATATTTTCCAGTGCTGTGTCCACTGGTGACTCATATGTAATTGCGTTGTATCATAGTGGATACAGAAATAACTTAAGTGGTTAATCTTTGCTAACAGAATTCAACAGTACATGTCTGCATTAACTTCTGTTGATTTTTTGGTCTTGTGTCTTGGAGACACAGTTGAGAATAATATCATTTTAGATGTCATTGATAGCAATATTTATAATTTTTCCAAAGCAGTGGTTATAAAAACATAACATGTGAATGTTTTTTCTTAGCTCTTCCCTAACTCCTCCTCCTCCTCTTTTCAGGTGACAGTTAAGGAGCCCCAGTCACCTGGAGACTCTGCTGCAACTGTGTTGCTGACTGTGAGTCGGAGTCAAGGAGGACGGGGGGCAGTCCGAATGATATGGATTTTGGAGGAGGCAGCTAGATATGATCTCACTCCTCTGAATGGAACTCTTTACTTTAATGAGGTACTCCCAGAATTTCAACATCCCATTTGCTTCCCTTACATTTGCTTACGTTTTCTTCTTTCTCATATATAGTTATATACTTGTACATTACAGACTTGTGCACAGTCGTAGTCTGTTACAACACAATAAAAAAATATCTGGTAGTTTTGACAACATGCCACATGCTTTCCAAACAGAAAAGAAGGGATGGCCCATTCCCTGGAGGACCTTGGTATAGGGTAAGTCACCCAGGGAATGTGGCATTTTAAAATGTTATAAATTGTCTTTTTAAAAAGAATAAAAATCTTATAGAAATGTAATAATGACCATGGAGAACAGTTATTCCATTGCATTAGCTGACAGTCTAAACAGACATGCAACTTGCCAGGTCTGGGAAGAGATAAAACATAAATTCAGGAAGTATTCTTTTTAAAAGAACAGCGATTACCATGTGACCCTCAAACTAGCTAGTGTTAGTTGCTAAGCTGTAGGCTTCATGGCAGAAGAGAGTCTTGAGGTAGGATTTAGAAGTTTAAGTATTGTGAAGCTATTGTTGTTGACATTAATAGATTAATTTCTGTTACAAATTATACACTGTGCTGAGCCAAAACATCCATTTAACAGAATGAATTCTGTTTTACTGTCTTCTGGTGCATTGCTACTTTATACTGATTGCAGCATGTATTATATTTATCATCCAGATATATTGCCACTGGAAACTTTAAGGAATAATGTCTCTTAGTGGTTTTGAAGATATGCAACCAACTTTCACTTTCAGGTTTGCCAACTGTTTAATGTTCATGTAAAGAAAGTTTGCTGAGGCTGTAGCCAGCACCAGCAGCTGTTGAGAATTCTAACAAACTGCAATACAGCTCCTTTCTGGGCAGACTGTTATCATGAAAAACACTTGGGGATATTCCACTAGCCTAGAGCTGGTCATGAAGCAGAATTTCTCGCCGGTTTTGGTTTTGGAGGCCAAAATCTTGGAATTCTTAGTGAAACCTAAATACTGCAAAATGTCATTGTGGAAAAATTGCAGCAAGAACATTTTGGTGTTTCTGATATGAAACATAATCTCTAGCTCCTCAGCAGCCCACCTGGTGGTCTCTCAGGATTGGGCTGCCCAGAGAGCCAGTCAGCTTGGGGAGCTGAGGAGGCAGCTGCCTTGGGGGGAGACAGCCTGCCTGTGCATGAGGGAAGGCAGTCTGGGGTGCTGGACAGCAGGTGGGCTGTAGGGGAGCCAGAGAACCAGACATCCTGGCAGCTTACCAGGTTGCTGCAGGGGAGTTGAGGATCCTGGAGAACTAGGCAGGCTTGCAGGAAGCCAGGTGAGGTAGCAAGGCTGTCTGGTTTCCATAGAAAGTTTAATCAGAATCGACATGCTTCTGCAGAACTTGTCAATTCTGTCGAATGTGCCAAGTGCTGTACTCTCTTAACTCACATTAACTTCAGTAGAAATTAAGAGCTTCAGATCCTTGCATCATCAGGCACTTTGTTTGATCTCACCTGAAAAATATCAGCCTAACTCATTTTCCTTCTCTTTCTGATTCAGACTGAATCCCAGAAGACAGTTGTTTTACGAGCAATACAAGATGGCCTACTGGAGGGGAATGAAATGTATACCATCCAGCTGGTGTCTACTGATAATGCAGAGATATCCCCAATAAACGGTAAGGAAATAATTTGCTATTTCATCATATGAGGCAGCTTCCAATTATAATTCCAGAAGGCATTTTTATGCTAGATTTTTGTTTTGAAATATCTGTTTTGTATGAATGTGTATAGCTAGCTAACCACATTTTGAAATTCTCAGTCCTCCTTAAATTGTTTTACTAACTAGCTGTTGATTTACTGAACAAAAATCATTAGGGGACATTTTTGAGATCATAGTTTTTCACCCAAATTAATTGTGGGCATATAAAAATTGTGACTATATAAAATAATTAAGTGTTAAAAGTGCCTAAGGAACTGGAAGCTTTTGAAAATCAAAAATTGAAAATGTTAGGAAGTGCAAGGTAAAGGCATATAAGTTCTATAAGCCAAATACTCTCCACAATGAGCTCCTAATGAAGACTATAGCTTTCTGTCTATTTAAGGTCAGAATTTTGTCCTAAATTCTGATTTATAATTCACAATTGTGTCAATTTCTAAATGTGTGATGTAGACAACTCATTTTAAATATAGCATTCTCCCCCGGTACTCAGTTACATGTAATGGAATCTTGCAATTTTCTAACTCATCCTGTGCCTTCGGAAAGTCACTTAAGCTGCTTGGTTGAAATCTTGGCCCCATTCAAGCTAATGGCAAAACTTCCATTGATTTCACTGTAGCTAGTATTTCATGCCTTGGGTTTGATTCTGATCCCAGCTACAATGTTCCCTCTAATTTTTTCCGTTCATGTGCGGAATGAATTTTGTTATGTGTAACAATATTGAAGTAGTCTGCAGATGTGCGCCACCAGTAGAAACAAAAAACCTAGATATAAATTACCCTCACATATTATATAGTATAGTTTAACTCAGAGATTTTTTTCATTAATGGTAAGGCAGCAATTTAAACAAGGGCCAAAATCTGTGCTTGTCACTTGAGCAGAAAGCCCATGGGAGTTTTTCTTAACTAATGATGGCAGAATTTGGCCCTAGAGGTGAATACTTTAAAAAATCTACCATCAGCAGCATATTTAAACCTGGATTGTCACCTTCAAGTTCAACAAATTTAAAAATTCCCTCGACATGCTGTCTGGAAACATCAAATGTTCAATCTGTCATTTTGAAAACAAAACATCTGGGGCATAATTATGCAGTGAAGTATTTGTACACAGTATTCTTTTCACGTGAAATCTGCAAACAAAATCTAAATCTTTATGTACGAGCTTCAGAACTGAGACCTGCTAGCAATGCAAGCAATGTGAAAATTAGAATCCCTATTAATCTTCTTTAAAGTGAGTTACACACACACACAGCATACTTTTGAAAGGAAATTACTCCAATCTTAACAGCAGTACATACACAGTTAGTGTTATAGTACATTTCTATTCAAAAAGAGAAAATTACCTGATTCTAACATAGTGGATTGTGAAACTACATGGAGTTTATAGAAGTGCAGTATTGATGGTTACATTATCTCACTGGGTTGCTATTTCTACATATTGAACTGTTGGTCAACATTTGCCAACTTATTCAGCACATCAAAGTTCATGGGAGTTTTTGCAACAGGAGCAGGAGTTAGCATACAAATAGACCCAAATAGATTAATACCAAACCCCTTTATTTAGGAAGTTTTGAGCAAAGTTTAAAGATTCAAAATCAAACAACATACGTACCAACAAAGATCAGGCTTCCCCTGCAAAAATTCGTAAGAAACCACTTTCTTTGGATATGCAAGTTGTTTATCTAGGCTCTTGAAGATAGTCTACAGGAAGTCCTTAATTAGTTTCCAAGTGGAAATTTGCAACTATACAGCAAAGGGCATCTTCCATTTCTTTTTTTCTTTTAATTCTTCATCTTTTTAAAAAAATAAACAAATTATATAATTTTAAAAAGCACAAACTTGTGCCACTAAAATCTACACAGAAAATAACTGCTGTTTTTTTTGGAAAGCAACAGTTGATTAATCATTTCCTTTTTAAAACTATGTTGCAGCCGAACTCCTGATAGAGTGGATTGATAGATTTATAGCAACATTTTTTTTAAAAGTACTTGATGACAACAGGGATGTCTCTCGAAGGAATTGCATGAGCTTTAAAAAATAAAAGGAAGAAAGAAAAAGAAAGAAAGAAGGTAGAGGGAGTAATGCAGTGTGCAGAGTTGAAGCGCAGTTAACATTGTGCTTTAAAAAAAATCATATCTAGCTATTTCAGCGCCCTCCATCCACTTCTGCAGAGTGAGAACAGCATCAGTAGCCCAGAATCAGACCCATGCCCTTGTGCCCAGAGAAGTCACCCACTCTTTCCCGAGCCTCAATACCCCTGAGCCCAGGTTTCCCAGTTTGGGTTCCCTCCTGTGTGCCAATCACACACCTGCCCAGTGTGTTGCTGCAGACCCAGAAGTTGCTGGTGCTACTCACTTGGGGTTGCATCTGCACTAAGCACAGCCTGGGCAGCTCAGCCGCTTGTCTCCCCGTCCCTTTGTTACCTCCCTGAACTCCTGGCTGCTTGCAGCCATTCACAAGCCTCTGCTCTCATTGGTTCCTTCCCAGTGAGGAGCGGGAGGCCCAGGAGAGAAGCACGGCCTGGGGGAGGAGGATGGGGAGGGTATTGTGCAAAAATCAGACTGCAGAGTACTGTGATCTGGCCCTGCGAGTCCTGGGGTGGGGCGGGGATGAGGTGCCCCTACCACTGCCCCTCTCCACGAGCTTGGGTGGCTGGGTCTCCCTGCTGCTCGGTTTCCCTCCAGCTGCCTGGCTGCCTCAGCCCCCACTCCACGCTGCCCCCTCCGCTGTTCTCCAGCCCCGGCCCCTCCTGGGTGCCCTCCTGCCATCGCTGAGGATGTGTGCACCTGTGCAGCTGTAATAATCAAATGTGCAGCACTTGATGGAGTGCTGCTCGGCCGTGCAGGTGCGCAGCTTAGAGGGAACACCGGTAGTGGAGGTATACCTGTATAGAACCAGTGTAAGGGGAGATCAGAATCAGGCCACCTGAATCAGATTTCCCATTTGCAAAATAAAGATAAAACAGCATTTTGCTAGCATGGTGTTTTACATATTAGTTAATAAAGTATTTATAAAGTGTTTAAAAGGGCTAAGTATTATGTGCAAGTTATTTTAATTAATATTTCTGCTCTTGCTATAATCTTGTGTACTAACTTGAATGTACTGAAAATGTTATTCATTTATTATTATAAAATCTTTCTTCCTCTCTTCGTAGGTCTGGCAACCATCATTATTCTGGGGGATCAGGGAGCTTCTGGGGTGGTTGGGATAGCTTCATCTTCCAACCATATTTTCATTGGGGAACCCTCAGGAAAGTATAATGGAACTGCTTTTATTAGGTAGGTGCATCATTGATTTCTCTGCTCATATTTTGAGTACACATTTCCTTTTAGTACAAAAAGGGTGGGCAACAATTGCCTGACTTCCATTGGTGCTGCTCATCCACATTTCCCACAGAAGTCTGTGGGAGTTGCTGGTGTTCACCACTTCTGAAAATCAGGTCAATAACCGTTTATTTTCAAAGGAATTGCAAAACATACATCAGTCTGAAATTATATCAACCCCTGGCGCTCAGGAGGGTCTTTCAGGAATGCATGTGATGAAATGCATTAAAAGGAAGAGTTTTTATGGCAATCAAAGCCCCTGCAAAGTTCTCAGGGACTGGAAGAAATCCACTTCACAATTGTGCCTTCGTTTTTGGCTGTGTCTACAGGTGTGTAAAGCGACAGAGTGACCTGGGTTTTGAGTTGAAGCAAAGCATAATGATTTCATTGAATTTTATAACTAAGCACCAGAACACAGAATGCCAAATTCTGACCATTCCAGTGTGGGTGTTCTGGTGGTGGGAAAGGCACAGCTGTCATTGCCCCCTCCTTCTAGAACACTTTTCTGAGGAAAGAGTATTTTGCTGCAACCCTCAAAGAACAAGCTAGTTCTGCCTGTAGCATTGGCAGTCCTACCAGAGAGGTTGTGTGTGGACAAAATCAGCATCTTGCCCTGCCCTGCAGTTTGCCAGGTTGACTGTAGTGGGAGAAGTGTTATCTCCAGGTTTTTAAAGGAGCAGTAAGTAACTTAAATCTCTGTATCAGCGGAGTAGCCGTGTTAGTCTGGATCTGTAAAAGCGGCAAAGAGTCCTGTGGCACCTTATAGACTAACAGATGTATTGGAGCATAAGCTTTCATGGGTGAATACCCACTTCGTCGGATGCATCCAAAAAAGTGGGTATTCACCCACGAAAGCTTATGCTCCAATACATCTGTTAGTCTATAAGGTGCCAGAGGACTCTTTGCCGCTTTAACTCTCTGTAGAGTCTAACTCTCTGTAGAGTCTTTCTGGAGGCTTTAATCCTTCCAAAGGCAAAATTCCTACAGGTTGCTCCCATTCTTTTTCCCTTCCATTGTGCATCTCAGCTTCCTAAAAGGCACAGCTGAACCCAGAGAACTCAATTTTCAGCCCTGGCTCTGCCTGCTTTGTGCTACTGCAAAGCAGGTAAAGAGATATCATAGAATATCAGGGTTGGAAGGGACCTCAGGAGGTCGTCTAGTCCAACCCCCTGCTCAAAGCAGGACCAATCCCCAATTTTTGCCCCAGGTCCCTAAATGGCCTTCTCAAGGATTGAACTCACAGCCCTGGGTTTAGCAGGCTAAGGCTCAAACCACTGAGCTATTGCTCCTCCTCTAGAGAGGCAGCCAGTGATCCCCTCCCAACATCAGGGAAGCTTAGTATACGCAATACTGCAAATACTACAATACCCTTACCTACTTGCAGAGATAACATTGTCAGAATTGTAATGGTGACCTGCTATATTAAATTCAAGCTTCAGTGAGGCTGATAATGTTTGGCTGAGTCACAGATTCATAACAACCTAGGCAGAGTACCAGCCATCTCTTGCACAGATAAAATAAAACATGTATAGGAAACACAACAATGTGTATATGTTCTTACTTACAGCCTAGTACGTGGCCCAGGGATTTTTGGGGAGGTCACTGTGTACTGGAATATAACTCCCCCTCTACAGAAGGAATTTGCTGAGATATCAGGGACCTTGACAATGCGAGATAGGCAGTCTGCAGCTGTTATACTAATACAGGTGAGAGAGATCTATAGCATTGGTTATTCCAGTACTCTTTTTGTTAGTAGTTAATGGTAGAGCTCAGCTTTATTTGTTTTTTTTCTGTAGGCTATAGATGATAACCTTCCTGAAGAGAAGAGTTACTACCAGTTTCATCTATCTAGAGTCAGTGATGGAGGAGTCATAAATGAGTCTACTAGCATAGCAAATATCACCATGGTTGCTAGTGACTTCCCCTATGGGCAATTTGCATTTTCACAGGAAACTCTTCAGACAACAGAAGAAGAAAAATCGGTATTGAGTTAAAAGATTAAAATCCTTAAAAATGGAGGAATTAATCTGAAATGTGAATTTTTAATGCTTTTGGTAGCTGTCGTTATCTATGTACAGTGGATGCCAATTTCCTAAAAATAAATAGCTGAGACTTTATTTCTGCATGTGTGCAATACAGTGTAATGTGTGAGATTCTGTGTGGTGGGCTTTGAGAGATATTTGAAGTGGCTGGCCTCTTCTGAGTTGTGTGATTAATTCAATTTCTGTATTTAATCTATATTTAATTTATTTAATGGTTTTATTTAGTAAAACTAATTGATGTGATGTCTGTAGAATAGTGTTCTTAGAAGCATATATAACACAAAATAAAGGCAAAAAGTTAAAACTAAGCTTTTTGTTTCCCTCAGGTTAACATCACTATTGTCCGTTCCAGTGGGTATTATGGTCGAGTGCAACTCTGCTATTGGATATTAAATGGGACTGCAGAGGAGAGCATGGATTTCACTTCCTCGTCAGGGGAGCTTATGTTTGAGCCAGATGAGACTACTCAAAGGATTTCAGTTGAAATCCATGATGATGACCTTCCTGAAGGTCCTGAAGAATTTTCAATAACTATTACCAAAGTAGAGCTCCAGGGAAGGTAAAGATATATTTCACTGCAGAGGAAAAGATTAGTTACAGGCCCAAAAGTGAACTATGTATATAGAATCTTATCTCACTGCAGTAAATCCCTGATTCTTACTCTGATATAGTAGCTTATTTTCTAACAGTGTAATAATAGAGATTTGGATCAAATATAAATAGAGGGACACCCTCATTTTTCCAACATTTATTACATTAATAAATTACTGATTAATGATTAAAGTGAGGACTCAGTAGGTATCACAGAAATTTAATAGCTATTTATTTTTGGATATTCCAGAGAGGTGCAGAAGAAAATGGTGTAGAGATTTACATAGTGAGGAAAATGGAATATCCTGTTTGAAGGTGAAATGCACTTATTCAGTTAGGGTTAAGTTTATAGAATGGGTGGTAAATGCTGCAGATCTCTGAAGAGGCAAGAAATAATTTAATGTAATATACTGAAAGGGAGAAAATAGTTTGTAAACTACAAAATTGTAACTTTTGTTACAATACTTGGGGAAGTATGAACATCTCTAATATAATATGAGGATATTTTTGAGGAAATGGCAAAAAAGAGATATCTTTAATTTTAGCAGAAATAGTCCATCATTTCTTTACTGTTGATTGAAAAAGTATAAATAAATTAGATACAATCCTGCCTAGAACTAAGAACCAAAGATTGTTTCATCCCAATCTAGAAATCTACTTTCAGTATGTTATATTACTATATAGGAACCTCAGACTAAAGCTTATGAAATTAACTATTTTATAATTTGTAAGCTTTTTACAACAAAACGATACACTCAAAGATTTGGACCTTCAACACTCCTCTCCCGGCTGATGGAAATATAAAATATTTGCCTGTGAAGAATGCTTTCTCTGTGAGCAAATCCCACAAATTCATCACTCCTTGCAAAACCTGCAGTAACTGATATTTTTTCCATAAAGCTTTACCCCTCCAACCTCTGATTTAAATTTGGCCTCTGTCACTTAGTGCATACTTGCCAACTGTACTGAATTTCTTGGCATAGAACTAAATTTTGTCTTGTCAATACTCTGTAACTTTGATATTGTACGATTTTCATCATATTCTTCTGCAGGAAATTTGCTGATCCTTTCTACTACTGGTGTCCATACTGGGCATGCTAATCTTAGGCCCTGATCCCAAAAGAGATCCACAAGTGCTGATCATTATGACACAATATTTCACAGAAGCTATGCACCAACAATGGGAGACAGCACAAGCAACAGTCCACACTTGAGCCTTTGTAGATTCAGGGCTTTAAGGTTTATCTCTTGGGGTATAATCTCATTAATAGATAGTTTTGTCACTGTCTGTTCTCACAGAACAATCAGGTTACTGTTTCTGTACTTCCCAAGGGTTTGTGAAGTTGGTTGCAAATAAAATTGGAAAGACGTGACAATGGAGAGACTTTCATTTTCAGGGAAGAAAAAAACAACTCTGTCCTGCACTTGTTCTGCTTTTGAAAGGTGTGGCTGGGAGGGTTGTGACAATAATTGTAAAAGAACCAAAGTACTTGTGGAGTCTACAGAATGACATACAGGCATATTGAGCCCATTTCTTTTTATAAAAGCTAACATATCTTTATTTTCTTCTCATGCTCTTGCAAGTGGATTTGATTTTGCTGTTAGAGAAAATGGACTGCAAGTGGACCAGCCCCCTGGGATAGGAAACATCTCCACAGTTCACATCATTATAACGAAAAATGACAATGCAGAGGGCATCATTGAGTTTGATCCGTGGTATATCACTCTGCAAGGTAGGTTAATGTTTAAATTTATGCTGCAATTTAAAGGATAGGCTTGCGACTACAGCACAGGATTGGTGGTCAAGGCTTCTGGGCTCTATTCTTGGCTTTGCCACAAGCTTCATGTATGTTCTTGGGTAAGTGATTGAGCTTCATTCCCTGCTTTCAGCCTTTGTAAACGAGGATGAATACAGTTTTGCAAAAGTCTGTTTGCTCACCTGTCTGGGGGAAGTGTTTTTTTTAAGGAGTAAGGAAATAGTATTATATTTTTCATTATCAGTCATCATAGAAAAGGAAAGGCATGTAGATTTTGTGCCTGGGCTGGTATATTTTGCAATCTGGAATGATACCTACTTAGAACAGGTGTTGTGAGGCTTATTTCAATGGCAATTATAAAACATTTGAGATCCTGAGATGGGAAGTTTTATAGAAGAGCAAAGTATTACCATTATGATTATTATTTATCTTCTCATGTATTACAGTCAAATGTTTGTATTCGTTATGGTGTACTTTTGTATGACATACTGAGGTAAATGAATCCTAGCTATGGCTCCAGAGAAATAAATAGAGGATCACCAGGGATGAATCTGGCCTTTGATATCTTCAGTAATAAGTAAAATCTCTGAAAATATCCGTATCTTTGCCGCCACCACTACATTGGATTACTGCAATATGAAGCTCTATTTAAGACTGCTCTTGAAGATCCCTGCAAGCTTCAGCTAGTGTGAAATGTGGCAGCCTCCCTACTTAGTTGAGCAAGTAGTCTAAAGTATATTACAGCTGAGTTTTGTGCATTGCACTGGCTAGCCGTTTACTTATCGGTCCAGTTCAGTTCAAGATGTTATTAATTGGTAAAGCCTTATATTGTTTAAGATGTGTCTTAAGACTACCTTGATTCTTATTCATTCACCGTATTAATTGGGCATGCATTTGCTTTTACATATTCTCTGAAGATCATGAATAGTTGCTATAATTATCATACTGTACTTTACAAAGTAATCTACAAATTCTCTATTGAGGGAACTGTAAACTGACAAATCATAATGAGTGTAGCATTGTATTCTTTGTTATTGATTCAGTTATTAAAGTTTAAAATAATGTGCATGTATTTTGATCAGTGTCAAAACCTGAGAGGGGAAAAAAAGAGAACCTAGAAACATAAGACAGCTGGATGTTGTTCAAAGCTTCTCTGTATATCTGATTAAAGAAAGTGCACATAATTCTCTTATGGGAAACAAGTGATAATCCATTTATGTATATTATAATGTTGTTAGTCACTCTGTTGCCAATTTTTAGAAGCAGTTGGCTCAATTGCCCGAGCAATTCATGCCCTTGTGAGTACAATGGGCACATAAGTGTATAATCACCTATTTTGGGTGTCTAAATGGTCATTTACATGTACAGTTTATGAAGCTACTCTGAAAAATGCGCTCTTATTGTACAGTAGGTCATTTTGAATTACTCTTGCAGTGGAAGAGGATGTTGGAATGATCATGATTCCTGTAGTGAGAAAGCGTGGAACTCATGGCTATGTGACAGCTGATTTTCTCTCTCAAAGTATTTCTGCACTTCCTAATGGTATTGACTACAGTGTCAATAATAACTCAGTCATCTTTCATCATGGCCAGAACCAGAGTTTTATCAGTGTCTCTATTACAGATGATGATGAAAGGTAATGGTGTTGGATCTTTGTTTAGTTATTCATGTGTTACCCTATAATTGTTTAGAAATCCAGTTTTAGCCCATTGCATGGTACATACTTATACTTTGATTTAAAGAGAACAAACCAAGGAGTGTGCAGGAAGTTAGGACAGCCCTTGGCTGCTGCTACCAAGTCACTGAATTACCTTTATTTCAGATCTTAGGTTTATGCAAAGAAAAGGAATAATCAACAATACATTCATTGCTTCATGTACATTTAAAATAGTGCATATATGCAATCAACAAGGCAACTTACTAGATTTTCAGCATTTATTTTTACTCCATGTTTGTTAGTGTTTTAAAGACTCTGATCTCTTTGACCCAGGGAGTTTGCAGAGCAGTTTGAAATCCAGCTGATAGGAGCCACCGGAGGAGCAGTCCTTGGGCTCCACCTAGTGAGTCAAATCACTATTGCTAAGAGCGACTCCCCTAATGGACTTGTCCGATTCCTCAACCAAAGCCGAATTATTGTTCCAAACCCCAGTTCCTTGCTGACACTGTCCTTGGTGCTGGAAAGAACTGGAGGATTGATAGGAGAAACTCAGGTAGGCCTTGCCGTTCAAAGCATTTTGTGTAGTTTTCAATAAAAATAAGATATAATTTCACTCTATAAAATCATGTTGAGAGAAGGAAGGTATGTAATTTATTAAATTCATAGGTTGAAAATATAATAGCAATAATGTATTACTACTTTGCATTTCCATAGGACTTTACATTTGAGGCTCTCAAAGCACTTTATGCACATGAATGAATTTCGACCCCACTAAAACTACTGTAAAGTAGATGTTATCTCTTTATTTACCCTCTGCTTGAAGACCAGAAAATTGAGATGTCAAGAAATTAAGTGACTTGTCCCAGGTCACACAAGAATTGTGTTAAAGAGCTGAGAATAAAACTTAGAAGAGAATCTAGCCCCAAACTTACAGCCACCTGTCGAGGGCTGCCTTACATGCTGCACAGTACCCAGAGCCCCCTTCAACATTCAGCACTACAAGCACTTCCCCTCCTGCCTCCATTCATCAGGGCTTGTGAAGGGAGGCAGCATTGTTTCACTTACATCAGTCCTGCTGCTCCTGTTCAGAGAATTCTCCCTAACCCCTTGCAGCTGCAATGGCATGTATGTGGCTCCATGTCTTCTGATTCCCAGTCCTATGCCATAACTTGAAGACTGTTTTTCCTTGCCATTTATTGGGGGGCAGAATAACGGTTTAATGTTGACTTCTCTCTGGAACTATAAATAGCAAGTGTGTCTGATTCTTCTCTCATATCAGTTTCACACATTTCGTTCAGTTACATTCATTTACATTGGTGTAACAGAATGATCAGACCCTGTCTCCTTCAGCATATATGTTTACAACAATTACTTACTCTAATGGTGAATGTACATCCTCTTCTCCTAAATATTTCAGATCCCATCATTTAAACATTACCTTAATAAAACTCTTAAAGTAATGTGCATTGGTTTAATTACAGCAAATGATCAGATATGATTTTAACTTAAACACATCAGTTTTTTCCATGCTGCCTATTACACATGGAATTCTTTCCAATGACTAGTCTGTTAAGCCACTGCCCTCTCTTCCTTCAAATCCTGCCTCATTACCCAGTTGCGCCATGATGTTTGCTGGGGATGACCTATTTTATTTACTTACTTATACTTACATAATTAAAACCAGAGGTGAAAGTAAGCCGGTCGGGTCCAATACGGCGTACCGGCAAGAGCCAGTATGCTGTGCTGGACCGGACCAGCTTTCCCGATGGTGATTTAAAAGGCCCATGCTCCTGCCACTGTGAGGAGCCCCGGGCCATTTAAATCACCTCTGGAGATCCGGCAGCGGGACTTGGGCGGTGCTTTAAAGGATCCGGGGCTCCCCTGCCACTGTGGGAAGCCCCGGACCCTTAAAGCACCACCGGAGCTCTGGCAGTGGGGCTCGGGCGGGGGATCCCCGCTGTGGCTGGAGCCCGGGGCTCTGGCAGCCGGGCTCCAGCAGGGATTTAAAATGCCTGGAGCTCTGCGGTGGCCAGAGCCTCGGGCCCTTTAATTCACCCCTGAGTCCCAGGGCTCCCAGCCGCCTCTGCAGCCCTGGGGCCTTTAAATTGCCTCTTCCGGTTGAGGCCACGCCCCACTCAGGACTCTGGCATACTGGTAAGTCCTTTAAGTCAGTGGTTCTCAAAGGGTCTGCTGCTTGTTCAGGGAAAGCCCCTGGCGGGCCGGACCAGTTTGTTTACCTGTTGCGTCCGCAGGTTCGGCTGATCACGTCTCCCACTGGCCGCGGTTCGCTGCTCCAGGCCAATGGGGGCTGCGGGAAGCGACGCGGGCTAAGGGACGTGCTGGTCGCCCTTCCCACAGCCCCCATTGGCCTGGAGTGGCGAACCACGGCCAGTGGGAGCTGCGATTGGCCAAACCTGCGGACATGGCAGGTGAACAACCGGTCCAGCCCGCCAGGGGCTTTCCCTGAACAAGCGGCTGACCGGCTTTGAGAACCACTGCTTTAAGTTACTTTCACCCCTGATTAAAACCCAGACAAACATTCCCCACACAAAAAAGCCACAAAACTCCACTTCTAACTGATTTGGAGCTATCAAGCAGTATAGCTATATGATAAACTGAATAATATTACTCTTGTCCTCCTTTTTCTTTCCCTCCTAATTTTTATTACATTCTTTTCCTATGTCATACATTAAATTAGCCCCCAAATCCTGTCCAGATACAGGTGCTTTATTATTTGCAATGTAAAATTAAGAACGTACATGAGTCTTCGCAGGATTTTGAGGACTTTGAGTACAAGCTCTTTGGGGCAAAGACTTTATCTGGTGTGTTTAGTACAAGGTGTGGCAGGGCAGAGTTCTAATCTCAATTAGAGCTTTTGGGTTCTACAGTAATAAAAGTTAATAACATACATAATTTTTTTCCTGTGTGTGCTCATTAAAATAAAGTTTTGATTCTTTTCTGTTTATTAACATCCATAATTTTGAAGTTTTGTTTTTAAAGTAATAGTCAGAATAACTCTTCACTGTTTCTCTTTTTTCTGTCTCTAGGTTAATTTTTAGAAAATATTATGATTAGAGAGAAGAGTCCGATGTTACAGTTATGTTGTGTGCCATCCATTCTCTTAACAGTATAGTATGACTGTATAATCACATACCAGATATACTGATTCTTAGGATAGTATAATTGGGTTACACCGTTACTTCTTCCCTTTGTTGTGAGGCTGTTATTAAATTGACGCGACTCTACATTTGAAACTAATATTTTCCACAGATTAATTGGGACATTTTAGGACCCAATTCAGAAGAGGCATTGTCCCCCCTGAGCAGTGACATTGGTGACCCTGTGAATGGATCATTCTATTTTAGAGAAGGAGAAGGAGGTCTGAGAACTATTAGTCTGAAAATCTACCCTCATGGAGAAGTTGAAGTTCAGGAGATCTTCATTATTAGGCTGAGCCTTGTGAAAGGTGAAACAGAAATAGACCCCAAGGCTACCAACATTACCCTAATAGTAAGTTGTTACTTTTTTTCCCTTGAGGATTATTTCTGAAGAGTTTTTGAATTTAATCCAACAGATTGCCTAGTTTATCATTCCACTCCCTCGTCTCATGTCTTACCCAGCAACAGTATTATAGAAGCAAGGAGGTAAAGGATCCATGAATCAAGGCTGTTATCTCAGCACCAACCTGGCCCTATTCCCTTCCAGTTGTCTTAGCTTTCTGAACTGAAAGTATGGAGTGGAACCTCATGCCCAAATTCTTAGTTTGCATTCTGTGTTTTCCCTATCCTCCTCTTTTCTCTTTCAGCTTCTGTATGTAAAAGGAAAGCAAGAAGAAATCCAGCTACAGAAGAATAAAAAGTATGGGTAATGGGGGGAGAAGAAAGGAGAGGCACGGTAGCAAGGAAAAATCCTTGCTGCAGAGACTTCACAGCTTAAAGCGATTCTGGCAGGAGAGGGGAGAATCCTATGAACAGCCAGCAGGGAAATACATCCTTCTCACATAACAACCTTCTCAGAGCTGTGCATTGAGGTTTTGCACAGAATTACGCCGCCCCTCCCCCAGGACCAAGTTTTTTTCCTCAGCCTCTGTTCCATCACCCTACAGTGCTTCCTGTTTTTTTGGCTGGTTTTTTTTTGGCCTGACAGAAATCTCATCCTCTGAGAAAGGCCCTCAGACAGTCTGTGGGGGGAGAGAGTAGTGGGCATGACAAACTGCATATGTGACATCAAAAAGTGCAAAGCCAAAACAAAGGAGTTTCAGATCCTGGGATAGCTACTCCCATATACTACTACTGCCTCCCATTCCACCCCCTTGCATGTGTCCCTTTGCACATCTTAGTCCAAGCCTTACCTCTTGAATGAAATGATATCGGGGAAGGTCCAAGGACTGGAATTGACTTCAACTCCTTATGGGAGATTCTATCTGTGGCAAAAGTAGAGCCTACATTTGGAGCAAGGCTTCAATCTCTAAATGTCTCTCAAAAATGTTGTCCTGCTTCCCACTTTGGTACTTTGGTCCCATCAACCAAGTCAGGATAGACTTGGTAGGTTCTTGGTCCCTGTTTCCTACTCCAGGTTTACTATGGAAAGCCAAAAATCCCCAGAGGTGTTCTGGACTTTAGGTAAGAATTCCTAAATAAATGCTAACCAATAGGACAGACATCTTTATTATTGGATCTCTAAGTAGTTCAGGGAAGCTGTCTGGGAATTAGAAGATTAATTTGCAAATTAATCCAGAGTGAATTCCTTTTGCAACTTTACCTTGGAATGTGGACAGATGAATAAGGATGACATGGTTTTCTCTACTTCCAGAAGACCTCTGTTATTGTCAGTTTTACAGTAACTTCTACCCACCAGTCAGATGCCGTGAAAGTTTACTCTCCTCCTTGTGTTTCCCATGGCACAACGTTCAACAGGACCTATAGATAATTACTCTCTTAATATAATCCTACCCTCATCTTTATGGGATTGCGTGGAACGTCTACCTAAGGGACATGCACATGCTCTCTACGTGTGCTTCCCAACCCCTTCTCACACAAAGTTAAAGATCTATGCCTTCTTCATCCTTACACATATTGAGTTAAAGATCTGTGCCTGCTGACTGTTTTTCTCCTTATTAGCCATTATTTTTCAAAATAGGACAGTTTTTGAATCTCCCCAAGCTTATTCTGGAGACTCATATCACTGAATGGATTGTTTTAGTTACACTGTGATCTGATCTCTCCATTGCAGGAGAGGAAGCTTCTCTCCGTAGGTGACAAGCAAGCTCTGAAGTTTTACCTGTTTTGTACTTCCAGTTTCAGAAGAATTAAGTCTTTTTTTAAAGGTTGCTACAAGGGACAGACTGCCACTGAGACCACAGTGGCTCAGTCAATCAGATATTGTAGTCCATTAGCATATGATCAGGCCATTCTGTCTGAAGTATGGCAACTTCACAGGCTCAGAACTCAGAAGCATTTAACTCTGGAATTTGTTAGGTCATCTCCTGACACTGTCATCTGGCATTATTAATTGGATCTGTCCCTGTTGGCTGACATTTGTTGGTCACTAAGGGTGCCAAGCATCCCTTTAAGTGACATACACTGTCCCGGATTGCTGCTGTTCAGTAGGATGAAAGAAGAGGGACATAGGATAAGGGAAAATTAGTCACTGATAATTCTGTTCATCATAGTACTTTCTTCCTACATCCATCCCCCTTTTCTCTGGAGATTATCACTTGGGAGTTTTTTCCCCCTCTGGTTTTACTGTCTATTACTTTGCTCTGGAAGTCTCCAATTGGAAAGATAGCTGATGGATTAGTGCTTATATATAAGCCTTGGTTGTCAGGTCTCTTGCCTCCTTGCTTCTGGTAGGTGGAGTCCTAATGCTGTCTGTAATTACTAGTGGTGTGCAGGATGTACAAAGAGAAGACTGTGATAAACAAAATTCCCAGTAAGTAATTTTTCCCAAATCCAACAGAGTATATAATTCAGTACAATTATTGAGGGCACCTTATCCCACAAACATCTCAAGGGGCCTTATAATAATAAAATCAAAAAGGTAATTGAAATATATCAAGCACTGAGAAAAAGGACTTTTAATCTGAATCTTAAAAAATGTAATGGTGCCAGTGGTTATTCGACTTCTTGTCCCACTCTCATCTGCATCATAGCTAAACTTGATGGTTGCTAGGCACCTAGGCACTTTAGAAAATTCCTCTAGGCACCTATGTGTGTCTTCAGGTACCTAAATACCTTTAAAATGTAGGGCCTAACGACCAATATAATAATAATTCCCCCCTCCGCCAATATTTGATTGTGTGGGGAAGGGGGAGGGACACAGGAAGATGGGATTTAAAATGTGATATTGATATCCAGAGACTGAAATTCTCTACTTATTCACTGAAAAGGAATAGCGCAAGCAGTGTTCGATCTAGCTTCTCCACACTGTCCTGTCAATAGAACTGTTTAAATATTGTGTTTGTGTATGCAATGCATATTATTCATCCAGTTGTTACTCTGTGAATAATTAGCTCTAGTATTTGTCTGGCCCTGTCCACCAAAATGCCTCTTCTGTGATCTGGAGAAGCCACCTCTAGTAGTAAGAAGGGGGAGTTCAGTCTCCAAAGCCATTAAATCACTGGTGCCGCTGCTGAGATTGCAGACTAGAGTGCCAGTGAGTGCCCATTATGATTCTGGTATGTGTTGTGGCTCCTATTCACTAGGGGCTGGATTGAATCCATTCAATCAATTAACTTCAATTACCACACTAAAAGGTGAGAATCAGAAACCTAGAGGTGAAGTGTTCTGTATCCCACTACAGATGCCATCCAGTCCAACAATAGTTAATGTAAATATTGCCTGCTGCACTGCAAGTCCAGTAAGCTGCTTGTTCTGACCTTCTAGACTAAAGAGGATAATGGATTCCCATCCTTTTTCTGTGCTCTGGCACAACAGAAGAGAACTCACTCAGATCCCTTAACTTCTCTTCATAGGATTTATTTTCCAAACTTTTTATCATTTCCTTTGCTCTCTGAAGTCTGTCCAAATCATTCATGTCATTTTTTAAAAATATTGTTTGAAACTGAGTGAGGCTTGACCAGTGCTGCTTTAAGTAGTGCTGAGCAGAACAGACTAATTACCTGACTTTGTTTACACATCCTCTCATTATTACGAACCAAGAGCTTTGCCTCTTTCCTGACAGCATCATATTACTGACTTGTATTCAATTTATAATCCACTGTAATGCACTGATTCTTCCTTGTGACACAAATAGCATTTTTCCATTGAACAACTGGTCTTATGTAGATTTAGTGGAGCTGCCTGTTTGTTTTGCGTGTTTGGTCTTGACACCAGACCATTTTACTCTGGTCTCATGGTGCTCCTATCTGCTATTTATTTTTCTTTTCATACAATATCCATTTCAGCTGCTACTGTACTATCTGACTTGTTGGGGGAAAATCAGGATGGTGGAGGGTTAATGGATTTGTGAGTTGTTGAATCCAGCATCGAGTTCCCCAGTGGTCTATAAATAAGATAGTTCATTATGTATTCTTGACCCATATTTTATTTGCTGCTTTCTAGATACAGAAGTTTGGTGATCCCAATGGAATTGTGCAGTTTGCTCCTGAATCATTATCTAGTAAGCACTATGAGGAGCCATCAGTCTTGGAAGGGCCAGAGAATATTACACTTTTCATCAAACGAGTCCAAGGCACTCTGGGGAACATAATGGTATTCTGACTCTCATTTTGGGGTTACTTAAAAACAATATAATCTGCAGTCTTCGTCCATTAGAATGCATATAGGAGAGCAGGCACAATTTAGACCTGTGTTAAGAAAGTCTTTTGATTGCTTACAGTGTTCGTGTATCTTCTTTTGGAGTTGGCATAATTGAACAAGGGATTTGGCCCTAATATTTCATGTTTGGAAAGTCATGTCCAATTTCTATATTGATTGGACAAAATGTGACAACCCATGCTTATTTTTTGACACTCTCCTCTCTCTCTCTCTCTCTTCTCCTATTCTTATGATAGGAGAATGGTGTAGAATGCATTTTTTAATAAAGTGATACCTTCTTAGAAAGGGAGCAACATAGACCCAATCTTCTCAGACAGCTGCGTGCCGTACAACAGATGGGAATTGGGTCCTTGTGCTTTGAACAGTGATCAACACTGGTTATTAAATCAGTTGGGGATTACCTCCTGAAGTTCTTCAGAATTCAGCAAGCTGTTTGTAGCATAATATCATGGACTCCCTTTCTGGTGCAATCATATTTTGGTATTCTTTTTAAAAAGTATCCGGTATCTTATATAATGGATACCATCTGTGGAAATTATTTTTTAAAAGGTATCTGATGTTGATGGAGAGGTAAGGATTTTCCTGTTGTTCTCATTTGGCTGGAGTTCTATACAGAGGAGAAAGATTTTAAAAAAAAATTGTGCACCCTACAGTAAAGAACATTTGGCCCACTTCGTATGTACCTGGAGTACACTTGGTATGTTGTATGCCTGCAGTGCTCAAGGAACTATATTTTGTACTTTTAAGTACTTTGTCATTCTTAAGAGAAAAATTTCTGGGGGACTCTTGAGAGAGGGAACAGCAAGGGAGTGTTGACCAGTAAAAACAAACTGTGGAATTAGGCCTCAAAATTCTGTAAAGTGAACCTACAAAGATATTCAGAAACAACTACCACCACATTCAGGTCACTGAGGGTAAGTTGTGGGAGGAGGGAAGGCAGATTGTGGTCCTGTTTTAGGTTACTATGCCTGTTTCTTTTTTATATTTCCATAAAATAATTTCTATTTTCTTGCTAAATGTTGTATCTTATGCTCTGTGTACCTGAGTGTATGAGAGTTCCAAGTTAGTAAACAATGTTTTTTCACTTATTTCAGGTTCACTGGAAGCTGAGTAGTGATTCTGATACTACAGGTGACTTCCTTGCAACAGGGGGTTCTGTCTCCATTGCTGAAAATCAGAGTGCAGCGGAGATCATTATTCATCTGTTACCAGATGATGTTCCAGAAGTAGATGAGAATTATGTGGTAGAGCTGGTTTCAGTGGAAGGAGGAGCAGATTTGGATCAGGACAAGAGAGTTTTGAGATTCACTGTGTTAGCAAACGATGACCCCCATGGAGTGTTTGCCTTGTACTCTGATAGGCAGTCCGTATTGATAGAGAGAGACTTGAGCCGGCACATTCAGATGAATATAACTCGATATTCTGGGACATTCGGAGATGTGAGTGTTGAGTACCGAATCTCATCTCATCATGAAGAACCAGTAATCACTCCTGAGAATACAGTGGGATGTCTGCTGGTGAAAGATGGTGCCAGCTTTGGTGTGAAGAGAGTGCCAATAAGTAGCCAGGTCTGTAGTGTCCTTAAGTTGGATAGACCTCTCTAGCGTTTTGCTACCTAAATTTATGTCTACATCATATGTACAAATGTCATTGAATAAGACATTAAATGGTGATAAATAGTGTCTGTTGGAGAGAAAGAGAGAAACAATTTTGATACTCTGGATTTTGTATTATTTATGTACAGTTGTGTTAAAAGAAAATGTGATTTTCAGTATAAGAATGGAATATAAAACCAAGGCGATGTGTATCCCTGAGCTTCTGCCTATATCCCTTTCTGTGTATCAGTCATGTTTTCTGTTTTAGATTCTGTTGTGTAGGCCCAAATCCTCTCCCAAGTGTGCTTTTGGGAATGGGCTATTTACTGGAGAAGGCTGCTTGGTTCTGGAAGACTGAATCATCAAGACCTGCAAGTACCCCACAGCTGCTGTATGCTCCCATCTGTGGGTTGAAGTGCATAGCTGCAGATACACTAGCCTCACCCTACTTCATTATCTACATTTCCCATTCTGTTACTGAGCTCATTGTGCTAGATACTGTGAACCTATAATAAGTGACAATCCTTGCCCCAAAGAGCTTACATTGTACAAAACTGCTGTTGGCCTTCCTTCACAGTATTAACTTTTGTGTAATGATTTTGAGGAAGATCTTTGTTAAACTGCTTGCCACTTTAATGCTTCTCAGTTCATGGTACCATTAAAGGAGCTGCAGACCATTTCTGTTACTTAACTCCTTAACTCAGCTGATATTGTTGGTTTCAGTTGAATAAAATTGCCAGTTTTTAAAATTTAAATTGTATCTTTAAAGGTGTTTCTCTTACTGGGCTTGAATTTCACTCTGGAACTGACCAATGCAAGCCTGATCAATGGAAGTGCCAATTATATGCCTAAAATAATATTAGGAAGAGCAAAATCAGCTACTCTGTCCATTCCGGAGGAAGCTGCGAATTCTCAGGTAACTTGACTGACTGCAGTGAAACAAGCTTACCACTAGAGGGCAGTTCCTGATACTTCTGTTACTAGAGGCCTGGGTACTGTATTTAGGTGATGCTAACATTTGTTTTTATGATTAAAGTCAGCTTAATGATTGACAGTCGTCTCCAGTTGTTACATGTACAGTACACATCAAGGATCTGATAAACATTTTGTACCTCAGAAATTCAAGAGACATAGTTTCTAAATGTATTAACTTTTGACACACTTTTTAAAAATGTGTTTTATCTATCTTTGTGGAGGAGATGGTATGATGGGATAACATGATTTTGGTAATTAATTGATCTTTAAATATTCATGGTAAATAGGCCCAATGGCCTGTGATGGGATGTTAGATGGGGTGGGATCTGAGTTACTACAGAAAATTCTTTCCTGGGTATCTGGCTGGTGAATCTTGCCCATATGGTCAGGGTTTAGCTGATCGCCATATTGGGGTCGGGAAGGAATTTTCCTCCAGGGCAGATTGGAAGAGGCCGTGGAGGTTTTTCCCCTTCCTCTGTAGCATGTGGCACGGGTCACTTGCTGGAGGATTCTCTGCTCCTTGAAGTCTTTAAACCACGATTTGAGGACTTCAATAGCTCAGACATAGGTGAGAGCTTTTTCGCAGGAGTGGGTGGGTGAGATTCTGTGGCCTGCGTTGTGCAGGAGGTCGGACTAGATGATCATAATGGTCCCTTCTGACCTTAGTATCTATGAATCTATAAATCTATATGAAAGTAGAAAACAGCTGGTGAACCATAATAGATGTGTTTGCAGTTAGTTTATGCCTGTGTCTTCATAAATCTGAAGCATTAAGAAATTTAAGAAAAATGTTGAGTCCAGATAATATTCTCTCTTTAGGTTAAGTAGTGAGTCTAAAAGCAGCTTATACCAAGAGAGGCAGATTTTCTTCCATTCTTTAACACTGCAAATATAAAGCTTGACACCGTTGTATTGAGCCAAATTCTGCTTTCACTTACTTTAGTGAGATTACATGGGAGTAAACAATGGCAGAATCGGTCCATAATAAAGTACTGTCTACTTCAATTACCCTTATTTAATATACTGGAAACAGACAATAGCATGTCACTGTCTTACCTCTTAAATTCAATTGATGCTAATATTAAATGTTTTTAGATCTCTTATCTTGAACCCCCTTTTTCTCTCTTGCTTCCTTCAATTCATAATTTAACTTTATTCACATGGTTCTTTCCTTTAGCATTGTTTACTACCCCATGGATGCCACTTATATTATCACTTCTAGACTGTGAGAATAACCCTTTTAGTCACAACTTCAGCTGAAGAACAAAGCAAATAGCTGGAACAAGTATTTATCTGCTGAGCAATGTCATTTGGCATTGACTTTCTTTTCATCAGATGCACAGTTGATCATTTATTTTCTGTCTGTGTATGTATGCATACATGCATCATAATAGCTCCTCTCCAAGAGAGTTAAGAAGCTTTTTTTTCCCTTATGAAGAATAGATACCATGTGCTATACCCTGGTATTTTTTAACACAGAAATCTAAGTCACACTGATTACCTATTTCCAAAAATATGAGCGAGTCTCAGAAATCCGGAATTTAGAATCTTTGGTAAATGCATGTGTAGTAGGTATATGGCTACTGTAATATATATAATATATATACAGTATATACATGCAGTACTAGATATTCCCATATCGTTCTAACAAAGATGTATTATATGTTTCTGTAGGTTGGCTTTGAGTCTCTCATTTTACAACTTACAAACATTATAGAAGGGACAGGCGAAGCTGTGATAACCAGAAAAGGAGTGTATGGCTCTGTAACAGTTAGCTGGACTTCTGGATACCCACTTGATTTAATTCCAGAGTTTGTTCATCCAGGCAACATTACACCTGGATTTGGTGAGCACTTTCTTGTTACAGTATACTCAGAGCTACAGAATTTCCATGTCTGACTAACTCCACTTTAGTTGTTGCTCTAATATTTTTGCACATTTCATGCTCCCTTTTTAATAAGAAATCATTGTTTGAATGAAAGTATATTATATGATTTTTATTTGTGAGTAGTAAGGTTTCTTTTTGGAATAAGGAAAACCTTGCATTTCATAGATAATGTACTCCTTAGTGCAATATGCACCTTGTTATACTTCTGAAGAACTGCTTTATAGAGAAAAGGTGCTGTACTTGTCATGCAGATTTCCACTTCCCTAGACAGAGCAGGAGTCTGATGATAACTCACATTTCTCTAGGTCAAAAGTAAAAAGAGGATTCCTGTTTAACAATTTGTGAATTGTTGCTTCTCTGTCTTTCTCCAGGTAATGTTACATTTTCTTATGGCGAACAAAACAAAGTAATTTCATTTCATGTTATTCCAAGCTTAAGTAGACGGGAGGCATTTGCTATCCATCTAACATCAGTGTACAGCAATGTGTCTGGTGGAGCTTACCTGAGGTAAGGGTATTACTTAGACCCTTGGTTAATTGCATGGACCCCAACAAATGGATATATGCAGTAAAAATTCTGATCTGATTACAAACATTTAAACCGTGCAAAACCTAATTGAGTTAGAAAAAGGAAAAATCAGCAACATAAAGATTTGGTAACTTTGTTGGTGAACCCATGGCTCCAGACCAAATGGAACCAATTGGTAGGGCTGCTCTGATCAATCTGGAACCTCTTGCAAAGCCAGTTCAATTCCTTGGTAGTAGTGTGTAGGGTATAACAGGGGAATGGACAATTTGCCTACAACTGGGATATCTGTATATATGTTTGTGAAGGCAGTTACAGGCATAGAGGATCCAAGATTTTCTGAGAAACTGGAGGAGAAGTGGAATCTATAATTTTCCTCTGCAAAGGCCACAATATAGAGAAATGCATTAAATACATCCTAATATCCTAGGGGCACCAATTATCACCACAGAGCTTTCCCTCTGTGCAAAGGATGTCTTTCTCCATACTGTGAAGCACTGAAACATGAGCAAAAAACACCATACTAGTATTGGTGGGTCTGTCTAACCATTGGCAGTGTTTTAACTGGCATCCGGTCAATTTTTGCAAAAGGTCAAAAACTGAATATGTATAGAGAGTGAGTCATCTCATCACCCAAAGAGGTGTTAGATGAGACTTGATTAATATTTTTCGGTGCAGTGTATGGGAAGGTTGCATTGCTACAACCTTTCTGGCAGGTAAAAGGAGAAAAAAATGAAGCAAATTGCACCTACTCTAAAGTCACTTACCTTAAATAAAATTCTGGTATCTCCAAAAAAAACCAGTTTTGAAAAGAATTAAAATTGCTGAATTAAACTAGACTCCATTAGCACTACTAAGTTTGAGGCTGCAGAATCAATGGCTGCTTGTGAGTTTCAGTGCATTGATTTGTAGGACTCTGTCCCACAGGAACCACTAGTTTAAAAGATGCTGCAAGACACCCCATTTTGACAGTCAAAGTGAGTGGAAGTTATTGCAAGACTCTCAGCGAGGGTGTAAAGTACTGCTTGATTCTCTTAAAAAAAAATTACAAGCAATAATTTCTTTCAGGCTCAGGCCTATAAGACCTGAAAAGGAGATTGGTCCAGAGGAGGGAAAGGTAGGCAACGCCTACTCTTTGTCCTGGATATGCAGTGAATAAAGACAAAACACACACACAAAGGCTAGGTCTAAGCATCAGGCTGCAACTTTTATTTAATTGACATAACACTGAGATGAACAGTACCCCCTGGGAAAACAGTGATCCAGTGTGGAAGGACATGACTGCATGAGTGCTTATGAGTGCATGAGCACCCTCTGCTTGACCTCCTTACATCACCCATGGGATCCAGCCAGCTGCTGGAATCACTGACCAGCACCCCTTCTCGTTTGAGGAATGAGGGTAAGAAGACGTGGACAACAATCTATTCTAGATTTGAGATACCTGTCCCTGTCCAAGAAATAACAAACAATACCAGAAGCCTTCCTGACTCCCATGCTCAGGTTTACCCCATGAGCAGGCCCACTGACAACTGCCCTACCCCATGCCAGACACTGAGAGAAAATTCTTCCTCTCTCCTCTGCGTGGAGATATGTCTACATCCCCAATATACCAGGAAAGTCAGTTCTGATGCATTCAAGTCACAGTAACTCAGAGGGTGGGTAGGTGCAGCCCAGACACCTGGGAACATGGTACTCAGGCCTGGGGAGAGGCCTTAAATGCTGGGGGAGGGGTGCAGCCATGTAGTCATACTCATCTGCCTCTCTCAGACTGGTCAGCTGGACTCTACAGAGTGGGGCCAATACCTTGCTCCATATCTGGTGCTATTCTTGACCTCTCCATCCCCCCCTACAGCACCATCATTAGCTATCAATGAATAGAGTCAAGAAAAAAGAAAATAAAGTAATTGGAGAATGAATAAAGAAGGACAAAAAGTGTTAATTAAAATAACTATTTTAATTAGTAATAATTATAAGGTATTTGAGTACATAACTGAGCTCCTCTCAAGGTGTTCCTATATTTATCCAGTAAGTTGTTTGTATTGTTCTTCCTACTTATTAATTAAATTAGTACAAGGCTGCCTCTGCAACATCTCACTAAGAAACTATAAAGATGCCACAATAATACCGCTCTAAACCAGATCATCTTTATTCATTTTCTTTCCTTCTTTCTCCTGCCCCAACTCCTAGCTCATCACACCCCACACCCCTGTGGTATTGAGAGGAGACATTAATGCAGAGAATGTCTGTTCTCCTGACCCTGACTTTCCTCCCATTGCCCCACTGACTCTCTCGCATCTGTGGAATAGTTTCTGCAAGGTTTAAAGTAAGGGAGAAATCTGTGATGCCAGATTTCCCCATTTCCATGCACCCCACCTTCTTTTGCACCTTCTCTGCTCTTGGAAGTGAAAGATAGCATACAGGCCATAATGATTATTGTTTTTTCTTGCCTCAGTCTGCAGCCCATGCTGAAAGGCTTGAAAGTTCTCTGGCCCTGACCAGTGCAAGAACACTCCCTGTGAAGGGAACCTTTTTACCCCCTCTGTCACATTGTCACAACTCCTCCCTTCACCCTCTACACACCAAACTATTCTGAGCGGGGAACTTTTTTTGGTATGGCAACATTTTACATTCAACATCTTGCGTCCATAAATGACAACATAGAATGCAAGACAACAGAGTATCAGGCCCCATCATTTGTAATGGGTGACTTGTGTTTCTTAATTTAACTTTTATGTTTTATATTTCAGGTCAGGATTCACAGTAGCTGAAATTGAGCCAATGGGTGTCTTCCAGTTTTCTCCTAACTCAAGACATGTTTCAGTTGAAGAAGATGTGCAGATGATCAGATTGCATGTCCAAAGATTGTTTGGGTTCCAAAGCAACCTCACTAAATTGACCTATCAGACTATTGCAGGAAGTGCCAAACCTTTAGAAGACTTTGAACCTGTTCAAAATGGAGAGCTTGTGTTTGGACATTTTCAGGCAGAGGCTGTAGTTGAAATATCCATCGTTGATGACACAATTTCTGAGATGGATGAAGTATTTTTTGTAAAGTTAACTTCAGTTGAAGTTTTGGCCATTGAAAAATTTAATCCTAATAGGAATCCACGTTTGAATCCAGATCTTAGTGTTGCAGCAGTTACGGTATTAGACAATGATAATGTTCACGGAATCATCAGTCTTGGGCCAGGATTTATTTATACTGAGGAAGACACAAACAACAGTACACCCAACACAGTGATACTTAATATCAGAAGAACCCAGGGCTTTGCTGGTGATGTCAAAGTAACTGTTAAAACCTTTGGTGGAGTGAGTGCACAGAGTGGGATCAATGAATTTCCTTTTGAGAATGTGTATGGAAATTCTAACCTGACATGGGCAACTGAAGGGATGGACTTTGAGGAACAGATTATATCTGTGACACTGCTGGATAGAGAGAAAGAAAGCAAAATGTCTATCAGAATTCTTGATGATGATGAGCCTGAAGGGCAAGAATTCTTCTATGTTTTCCTCTCAGACCCTCAAGGTGGAGCTCAGATTGTGGAGGGAAAGGATGAATATGGGTTTTCAGCTTTTGCAACAATAATTATCACAGGTAATGTTATTGTTTTCAAAGATTCAGTGCATCAATGCAATATAATTTAACATATAAAGCTGTCTAACCCTGAGTTCCTCTGGCAAATTCCATTAAGACTGGGATTTCTTTCCATGGGATATGCAGGGTATTTTGCTCCTAAACCTCTAGAGTTTGCAGATGTGTGGAGGCTTTATGTCTCTGTACTGCCTGTCAAATCCCACCTTCCTTCCTTTGGCAATGTGCATTTTTCATGACCCAAACTCTCACTGGCTCACCTATTGGATGCTGCCCAACCCCCATTCTTGGGGTATTTTACTTGGCACACTCTGTGTTCCCTTTGAGAGGAAGCATTAGTGCAGACAGTGTCTGTTCCTCTGACCTTGATTTTCATCCCATTGACCCGTTGCCTCCCTAATCTCTGAAGTAGTTTCTGCAAGATTTAAACAAAGGAGGAATCTGTGGTGCTGGAAATCCACGCCTTCTTTAGCTCCTTCTCTGCTTCTGGAAGTGTAGGGTAGCATATGGGCCATAATGATTATTGTAGATTAAATCTGATAATTAGCTAAGAGCTTTTCTCTCTCAGTGATTGCATCCTAATGCCAGAGGTTACTACCAGAACTCTGGTTTACTTTAATTTGTAAATAGCTACCATAACATTTTCCCATAGAGTTTGCACAGAGATCTTTTGAAATATGAATATGAATATGAAAAGCCCTGGCTGGGATGATTTAACTGGGAATTGGTCCTGCTTCGAGCAGGGGGTTGGACTAGATGACCTTCAGGGGTCCCTTCCAACCCTGATATTCTATGATTCTATGATTCTATGAATCTTAAGGAATTGTTCACTGAGTTGAAAGCACTCTGATTCCAAGTCGTTTTTATAGAGCATATATAATGTAAGTGGTGTGACTGGATAACAGCAGTGATAACAAGTCCTTTAGAAATTCAAATCTAGCAAAATACTTTTAATATTACAAAATGGTTCTTAGGGACTAAGGACCAAGTTGTGTCCTTGGAAGAATGTACACAGCTACCAGAATAATGTATCCAGGAACAGAATGTCAAATGTTTGTGCAATTACATGCTTCTTTTACATTCATAGTTACTACGGTTGTACAGGTAAATAGCAATTTGCATGCACGTGCAAGTTAGTCACATAATTGCATGCATGTAGATTATTTTTAAGAAATTAATTATATTGTGCCATAGGTATGTGTGATGTGCTAAGCTTATGGTCTAAATTAAATGAGCACAGGTAATAAGGTCAAGAAACAATGCTGAGGGGAAGAAAGGTGACACACATGCTGTGTCTGAACCAGATTGGAAGTCTCTTACCAGCTGACTTTATTAAAAGAACAGGCTCTTTCTTCCCCAGTGTAGAGTAATGCTATCATGGGGGGGATCCTTTAGAGCTAATGCATTTTTAAATGAATATGATGGACAGCAGTTATTCTGAGTGGGCCTATTCTGTAAGGAATTTATGGGTGAGATTTTCAAGAGTAATTAATGTTGGCCTGGCACTGGACCCACTGAAGTCAGTGGGAGCAGAGTTAGAAAAACCCAAGTGCTTCTGAAGATTTCAGTTTACCTGCACAGAAGAGGCTAGGCATCTGATCAGAAATTGTCTTTCAAAATGAGCTATTTTCACAGTTAAAAGACAATCTGCAAAATTAAAATGTAAAGATTTCACTTGGGTTACTAGATAAATGTAGGAACATATGAGTTTTTTTATGTTTTTTGTGGTTACATCCTTTGTTCCCTTTGAAAATTTGGCTCTTTGTGTACTTTATATCATGCCTTGTGCACGTTTTTCAATTTAAGCAATTCTTTCTGCATTAAATATGTACAACTTATTCTCAACTTTATTTGCTTCCTAATCAGTTTGATGTACTGTTTCTCATACAGGGAATGATCTTCAAAATGGCATTTTGGGATTCAGTGCAGAGGTACAAAGTGGCCTTGTGCTTGATGAAGATTCTGAAAGCAGGGAGGTGCAGCTGATAGTCACAAGGCAACCAAACAGGTGCAGGCAACGGCTGATAAAAGTGCTGTCCCCACATGCTGTAATGTGCTGTATTGAAATCAAGGATGCTGCTGTTAGCAGAAGAGGTTATCATGGAATTTTGTAATAAATCTTTGACTTTCAGCTGCTCAAATCGTTTATTGTCATTTGGCAAACTTGCTTCATAAATTTAAAATGTGATTGTTAGTCAGTGTACTGGTATTAAACAGAAATAAGAATTAAATATCTACCTAACTAATACACATCATAACTGAGATGAGAAATTAATTTCCTTGCTATGTACTCACGCTTAAGATTAATTGCTTAGTTGGCTAAAAATGTCTCCGAAACGTATGATCTTCTTGGCTATTGTACAGTCGGTCTGATTAGTAATATGTGTATTTAATAAGATACATGTGTGCCAATATATATTTATGTATTGCCACACACTGTATGTATACTCTTTACATATTACACACACTATCAAATATGTTAGTGATTTTCAAACACATAGGAAAGTCAGTCCCTGTTTCAAAATGCTTACAATCTAGGATTCCTGTTCAGCAAAGTACTTAAACATGTGCTTAACTTGAACCACATGGGTAGTCCCGTGACCTCAGTTAAGCACATACGTAAGTAACTTGCTGACTTAAGTGACTTGCTGAGACCTAGATCTAGCTTGCTTCCCAATAACTGGATGACATTGCTCTTGTGACTTTTATTAATATAGCTAATTTCAGAGGAAATAACATACAACAAAAAGAAAAATATTTTTTTCTTCTGAAAGCATTTTGTTTTCCAGTGGTAAATTTTTATTATTAATAAAAAATGAATATGTCTATGTGGTTTAGCTTCCCTGAAGCAATAGCTGCCATCTTCAATGCATTTAAACTGCTTTGGTTTGCTTTGCTCATAGGGCTTTTGAAGATGTGAAGATCTTTTGGCGGGTGACCTTTAATAAAACATCTGTTGTCCTTCAGAAGGATGGAGTAAACCTAGCAAATGAGCTGTTGGCTGTGTTAGGGGTTACCACCTGCATGGCAGGTCAAACAATATGCAACATCTCCGTTGGAATAAAACCTGATAATGTGAGTAGTTTATTAATATTTATACAGCATCATGACTTACTTACAAATATAAAAAAAACAATGGGCCCTGATTGAGAGAACTTAAAATCCAGGGGCCATATCTGCAGGTCGTTACTCAGTTTCTTCTCAGTCTTCACACAAATTCCCATTTTCTTTAATTGCTGCTTTGCCTCCAGAATGTCTAATTAAAAACTGAGGAAGGGGCTGAGGGTTTGGCCCTAGAGAATGCTGCAGTTATTGAAGCCATACAGGAATTATAAGGTAAAGTAGGTTGCAGTCACTTCAGTGAAATAAGTATTCAGTACAAATGGGCTCTTACCTTTTACACATTAAATATTTGTTTCACCAAAGCGCTTAATATGTGATTCACTTTAACCATGTGACCTAAGTAATCCCATCTGATTCGGCAGAACATGTAAGCACATTCTTAACTATAAGCAAATGTATGTCTTATTGAAGCCAATGAGACTGAAACATTTTCTTTAATAAACATTATAGGACCAGTCGAGTGCTTAAAGTAAAGTGTGTTGCTGAATTAGGACCTAATACATTGCATGACTGTGGTAACTAAGGCAGTATTTCAATAAATTGGAATCTTACACCTGCCTGGTCTCAAAGATTGATCTGATTGGTTAATGAGAACAATAAGTCCTATATAGCAATAACAAGATCATGTAGTTTAGAGAACCATCACCTGCCCCGATTACAATACCCCAATTATATGCCCTGTCCTTTAATATGGAAAAAAATTCTAAAGGATTTTTCCATACTGTTTCTGCATATTTGTTACATTATAAATTAACACAAACATGATACAGGTACACTGTCACTTTCAAGATCTTCTGGGAATTTTGAAGGCTGCAACCCTGGCAGCTACTTTGTCTAGTTCAACCTCAACTGTATTGGCTCCACCGGCTAACAATTGGATATGTGCTTGTTTTGTCTGAGAAATAAGCTAGTATTTACAAAAATGCCAGAATTTAAAAATAAGGCCAGATTTATAGAGAGAAGATAAGTTATAGTGTTTTTGGTGCTCACCATACATTAAAAAACTAAACAAAAAAAACAGCTTCTTTTCCAGTTAATAAGCTGCTTTGTTTTTGCTTGTCCAGGGCTACATTTTCAAAAATAGCCTCTATCTTTATGTCTGCAGCTTCATGCCTGCCTAAAATAGCAGATGCAAATGATATTTAGATATCAACAAACTGATTTGTGGATGCAAAATCAGGAAGTTAGATGTCTTCGTTACATCATTTGTACTCACGTTTGATTTTGGGTAAAAATCAGAGACCAGGTGGAGGCCCTATTGAAAATTTAGCCTAACCTATTTCTTACTTTGTTTAGAAAATCAATTACTTCCTATACTGTATTCAGTAAAATGTTGAAAAATAACATTTGGGAATTGCATGATCAAATTATCTGGTGTATGACCATTGAAATACATCAGACTGTATTTCCAGACTGACTAGAACTAGGAAGTACTAAAAGTCTCATGAAAGAGCCTGTCTCATGATATTTTCAGCCTAGTTTTGCAGACTTAAGAATTGTGAAAATGCTTAGCCAAACTTGTGAACTTTTTGAGGTTCATTCACAGTAATACAAACACTACAGACACATGTTGGTTTTTTTCAACACTTGAGACCTGAGTTCCACCTTCAAAAGATAGTCACAATTAATTGCAGGGGCAAAAACCTGTACTTACCCAGGTATGCAAATTTTCTACTTGGAATTCATTGTGCGCATGTTTGTGCACATTTTTTGCAGGTGTAAAAGAGAATTAAAGAGACAAATTCTGCACAAATCTACACCTTGTGTCATTCCATAAATTTGAAAATTTGACATATGTCTCACAGCATCCTAGAGGCACATCATATGTATACTTTATGTTGTTAGGCTATTGTGTGAGATTATATGTGAAAGACCATAAGACTCTTCTACTACTTGTTCCACGTTGGTGTTTGCTGAAACTTTATCCCTTTTGGGATAGTACTGTATCCGCCTTTTAATATCTTTGAAACCAATGAGTAATTCAGCAGGGAGACAGTATAATAACAGGACAACTTTTTCAAAAAGGATGGAATGCATCTTTACTGCATACTCCTGTTGGAATCAGTGGACATTATAATGATCTGCAATTCTCACTTGTTTACAGGTACCTGAATTTGAAACTTATTTTTTGGTTGAGTTGTATGAAGTAAGCTCAGGAGCAACATTAAACAGCAGTGCCAGATTTGCCTACATAACTGTTCCAGAAAATGATTCTCCTCGTGGCCTGCTATATTTTGCTGTGGGATCTCGTCTGGCTGTGGCTAATAAAAAGACGACTTTAATCAGTTTGCAGGTGGTTAGAGACTCCAGTACAGCGTTAACCATCTCAGTTAGTTATAATATGCAGGTAAGACTGTGTATAATATCCTCATTTATTCTCTAAAGCATAAGCAAGTAAGATTAGCCCTGGTTTACTTTATCTAGGAAATGCTCAAGTTACACATGTTTATAGCAGCGGTCATTACTTACATAAGTCTAGCATATATTGTTTCCCATTACTAAAATCATCTCACTTTGATCAGTTTACCAAAAGTAATTTTCTGCAGGGTACTTTCAATAACCTCAAGAACTGTGGTCATCCTGAAGTATTAAATCAGTCATCACCACTTCCACTCCCTGTTAAAGCTTTTCCTAGGCTTTAGCCTCCTCCCTTTAAAATGTGGATTCTGCCGCAGCAGGTATAATCATTTGTATCCTACCAAACTTGTGATTTCCTCAATTATGTCCATAGAAAACTTAAAAGAAAAGAAAGGGCATTTTCATTGAAGTCTAATCCATATCTCAGTTGCTTACAGTTACTGAAGTCCAGGCAATATTCTTGAGACATTGACCTTAGAAGTATCTTTTTTTAAAAAAATTGGGGCAGCAATTCTTTTATGAACTGAAAAAACATAATGCTCGTCTATTTCTCCAATAGATGATATCAGTCCTGTTCATTTGTTGGTGTGTTGATCATATGGCCTTATACTAATTGCTGGACTGTTGTCTCAAAAATAATAAGAACCCTTTTACTGCTGACAGCTAATGGAGAGTCTCCTTTAGCTCAAGTGACAGGTGCTATGCACAGCACTGTACAGTTATCTAGGTACAGTTCCTGCTCCTCTGTCAACAGCTGTGGCTCCACAGCCAGACCCTGGGCTGGGGGGAGGATTTCCCCTAGTTTTTTCCTGTTGCATCTGCTTAGCACTTGGCCTGACTTCTTGGGCCGAGTGTTGGGCCTAAAGGCATTATTGTGAAGAAGTGTTCTCATACTGAAGTATTATTATGCATTGGCTGGTGAACTTTCCTTTCATTTAATAAATGGCTTTAAGTTTTATTTCATGCTGCATGTGTGTCAGGTTTAACTATAGCTATTGTGTATCCCTGTGTTGCCATGGATTTGTTGTACAGTAGCTGCTCAGTGTACTTTAAAGTGTACGTAGCAGGTTTTCGGATTCTTGCTAGGAAAAAGAACATGGATCCTCTATCATGAAGCTGGTAAATGGAGAAGGAATGGCAGCATGACTTCTCACCACATACAGTATGCTTAGGCTAATACATGTAGCTTGCCTGTTTTGGCATGTACGGTAACACCACTGCTGTACAGTCTGGGGTATTGAGCATTCATGACAGAGTACCAAAGTGTGAGGAAAAAACTTTGAGAGAGGAAGTCTAGGGGGAGGCAGGGAGGAGGAGGAGTTCACTGGAAATAGATGTTTGTCTCATTCCCACAATTTATTTACATTTCTTTTGCTTGACACAATTAATTTTTATCACCACTCATTTCCCTGTTTCCTGCTGATTCTGGGAACCCAGTTGGAAGGGGCAAATAAACAGTCACTTCTGTCAGTAATTGGCAAAGATGATGTCTTGATTCCAGAGCAAGTCTACACACATAAGCAACCACATTGATTTACAATAAGCTGTTTAGTGAAATGAAAATGTTCTAGTTACCCAGTAAAAGTATTTAGTCAGTCAGCACTAGCAGAACTCAGATGGGATCTAATAGTTGACATTAAAAATCCTTTCTTTTGCATAGGAGGAGCCATTTTGAGGTTGCCTGAGGGAATCTTTTGTGTGATGATCTATTAATAGATAATCCCAAAGCTGTATTGTGTTATGAATTTGAATAGTAGCCCAGAAAGCTAGTTTCCACTTAAGCAAGGCTTATTATGTATCAGGTCTAGAAATGAAGGGTCTGGTATGTGGCAAAAAAGCAAATTGAAAAATAATAAAAATTCTGTATACCCTATGATAGGTAAAACTGTAATATTTCAAAAGGAAATGAGTCCATGTATAGATCTCCTAAACCTGGGCATGTATCTGACTTGCATTTGTATTCTGTAATATTTCCCTGATAAAAGTCAAAGAAGAATGGTCTTGCAGGTAAACCATTGGACTGGGACTCAGGTGATTCTGGTTCTGACACAGCTTCCTGTTGTCTGTGCATCAATTTCCCCTCTGTAAAATGTGGATAATTCTTCCCTCCTTTCTGGGGCATTGTGAAGATAAATACATTGTTGATGAGGGGCTCACATACTGCAGGGATAAACACCATAGAGAATTGTTATTTCTATTATAGAAACTCCCAGAGGCTCCAGTCAGGACCAGGGCCGCCTCATGCTAGGCATTGTTGAGATACTTGCAAAAATAAATTAAAATAAAAAAAAATCCTCCTCCCTTCATCGTGGCCAGAGAGTATGCTGTGATCCTAGTGGAAATAGTGCATTTCTACAGTAGGAAGAGGGAAGACAGGATTGAGGACCTTGTACAATGTGAGCACCATAGAGTTCTGTTTCCTGCCCGGCAGTGCACACTGGGTATGGAGGGTTGGGGGAGCTACTGGAGGGACCCTGGACAAGAACGGTAGATCTGAGGAATGGGAAGTGCAGAGATCTAAAAGCTGCACTGGTGCCCTGGTGTATGATACACAAGCTGGTCCAGGATTTGCCTAACATTTATTGAATATGTTAATGTGTCTGTTTCTGCTTGAGAAAAATCTATTTGACAGCATAATTACCTTCTTCAAAATGTCTCCTAGATTCCCTTTGTGACTAGCCCATAACTTAAGTTCGTGCCCTTTTGGATTGGAGTCTGATATCCCCTCTGGCAGTTGTCTAGAATCATCCTTCTTTAGTATGCTCTCAGAATTTCATTTACCTTAATTGTACCTCAAGCTTTTTGGTGTGTACCTATTTACAATACAAACCTCTCCCCTTAATTGAGTGGCCTCATTCTGCAGCCACTGACTATGGTTAGCACCTGTCAAAGTCACCAGGAACTGCTGGTGAGCAGAAGCTGTAGAATTAATCCTGCTCTTCTCATTGACCATAAATGTTACATTACTTAGTCTTTCCTAATAGCTATAACTCCTGAAGCCCTTTGTCCCAGGTCATTGATGTATTCAACAGCATTCAAGTTTTCACTTGCTTGATTAATAAAAAGGTCTGTGAGAACTGAGACTGTTTTACTTATTTTTCCCTCCTCCCAATTTATCACAGACCCCATCACAAAGTCTCTTACTTTACACCATTTTGGTTCAATACAGAATGTATGGGGGGAGGATATTCCAGATTATCACCAAATATGAATTTCATTTTAACTTGTTATATTTACATTTTAAAGAAAAAATGGATTTTACCCATTTAAGTGCACCTAGTTTTAAACACACTGCATTATGATGATGTTGCCTAGAATTCTCTTGTTTGGTTTCCAGGAGCTGAAAAGACCTGAAGCTGTTGGTCGTACCTTCATATCACCAGCTATTTCAGGACAGGATTTTGCCAGATCTGAGGGCGTACTGACTTTTGAACCTGGACAGAGAAATGCTGTAGTGGATGTAACACTGACTCCAGAGATAGGATCCTTACATCCATTTCCTAAGCGTTTCCAGGTTGTGCTTTCTAACCCCACAGGGGGTGCCAGAGTAGATGATGCATATGGTATTGCCAACATCACAATTGTCTCAGATTCAGATGCCCAATCAGTCTGGGGGCTGGCTGACCAACTGTACCAGCCACTTGATGATATCATTTTGAACAGGGTCCTCCAGAGCTTAAATGTCAAAATTTCCACAGAAACTACGGAAGAACAGCTCACTGCTGTGATGCACATAATAGATAAGGTAAATATTCATGTGCCCCTTCCAAAATGACTAACAACTTCCATGAGGATGTAATAACTCTTATGGGTTGTGAACATCTCAAAATGATAATCAGCAGTAGCGATCCTTTGAGACACACAGTGCTGCAGTTCTAAACACAGAACGAGTGTAATCCTTGGTAAAGGATTCTAGGGGTCAAGAAAGAGTCTGCCTGTCTGCAATTAGACTAATAATGATGGCTACCAAGAATTAAAAACCAAGCACAAAGGCTAAAATGCAGCCTAAGAATTAAATTACATATAAACGCTCAGGTTTCAGAGGAGCAGCCGTGTTAGTCTGTATCCGCAAAAAGAAAAGGAGTACTTGTGGCACCTTAGAGACTAACAAATTTATTTGAGGATAAGCTTTCGTGAGCTACAGCTCACTTCATCGGATGTTCTCCCTTGGTGCAGTGGCATCACAGAGCTTATTATGGCTTCTTGATTCTCAGGATAGATCTGTGCTGGCCTATGAGCTACTCTAACCACCACTGTGGTTCCCCAGGGACAGTACACCAGCTGGGGACTGCCAGAGAACACCATGCCTCTGTCATAGCCTCTGCATTCACCTCTACTTTACACTAGGTCTTGGAGTTGTAGGTTGACATAGGAGCTGAATATTTTGGCACTAAACTAAGTGTTTCCCTCAAAAGGTGAATTTTCTTAGCTGGCCTGGTTCGGCTGCTTTCTGGCCCCTCTGTACCTCCAGAGTAGTGCATGGGGGCCAGAATGTACCAGAGAATCTAGCTCCAAGACTCAAAATAGTACAATAATACTGACTAAAGACAACACTCACTTGCTTATAATGGTGGCATTAGAGCAATTGAAGTGAGGTTTTGCTTAGTTCAGAATTTTTGAAGGAACTGTAAATTCCACACAATTCCTTACTAATCTAACTCCTCTTACTGAGCATGTTTTTATTATATACATTTGACAATAGACTATGTCCTATATCTTGGTGGCAAAAAATGGGAAAAATGAAAACTTCAGAACTAAAATGAGAGAAAATTGAAAATTGTACTGAAAGTGGGCTCACAGTGAGAGAACCTAATTAGCAGCATTTGCTTTTTAATTCATACTGGCAAGTAGAAAATCTGCCTTTATTACAATTAATTAAATTACATGTAAAACTGAGTAGATCAAAGCAATAAAATACTGTACTGCAAAAACAAATGAAAGTTACTGAAAACAAAACAATACATGAGACACAGTTGTATAATTTGTTAAAAAACAATGAATTTCTATTTCAAGTGTGTTTCTAAGGTGATCCTTCTGTATCTAAATTTCGGTTATGCTGGGCTTGAGAAATAATTCTCAGACAATCTACAGCTCCAGTCTTCTAATGAGCTCCATACAGTCTGATCCCTAAGAGTTTATCAGGACTGGGGCCCAAGATTTGATCAATTAACTTTCCCTTTTGATGACATTTCTCAGTATATAAATGTAGTTAAGTAATTTAAATATTTTATTTAATTTATCTTCCTGACATAGTTTTTGTATTGTCGTAAATACTAGTTCTTGAAAATCAAGAAATGATTGTTTTTATACTGCTGTAAGTGATACCATTTTCTTTCTTTCTTTCCCCTGCGTTAGGTAATGGTTGAAGGTGAAAAACAGATGCTCACTGATAAAAGCCGAAATCTTTTCTATGAGATACTCTGTGCTCTTGCTAGCCCAAAGCGCAAGGATACACAGGGCTACAGTCTGCTTGCTGAAGTTACTGAGAAATTTGCCTTTTCCCTCGCGACTGGAGTAAAATGTGGATCACCTGGTGAAAAGTAAATACTTTTTAATTTACAGAATGTGGTAGAAATATCTGACAATAGACTGCCATAGTCCTAGCAGGCTTTAATTACATATATTAGACAGGAGTGCACATTCAGAGTAAATGAGATGAGGACTAGCCTTGATGTATTACCCATATACAGAGATGTACACCATTCTACAGTATTCCCACAAAGCACTGCAGTGGCACCATAGTAGGATGTGGTATTTTGGACTATTACAGCAGAATAGAATATATTGTACATGGCACTGTTATATATGGAAGGCATGAGACTAGGAGTCAGGAGACTTGGGGCCTAATTCTACAAGATACCGTGCCCCCTCCGCTCCAGTACCTTGTAGGACCAGGCTCATCCATGCTGTGCACTGAAAAAGGGACAGTCCTGTGGAAAAAATAGTATGTTACCATATACAGATCAATTTTGCCATCTGTAAAATGGGACTAGTGATACTGACCTCCCTTGTAAAGCGCTTTGAGACCTGTTGATGAAAGGGTTGTGAAGGGCACAGACTTATTAATACTAGTTAGTAGAATAAGTAAGTTTAGAGCTCGTGGGCTTATTGTTCCCAGCCCAGTGAACCATGTTCTAGGCTAAAGGGTGAAAGCAGGAGCATCGATTTTGTCTGTGACCCGTCCGTAGGTTCAGCTGAATGTGGAATACAAGTGGAATGTGGACGGGTTTCAACAGCAAGCTGCATTGCACAAAATACAGAAGGGAAATGATGACTTCCAACAATTCCAACAACATCCATTCCTTTCTGAATTTGATTTTCCTGAGGACATCAAAAAGCACCTCACTGGCCCCATGGCTTCCCTTCTGTCAAACATCGAAGTCCTGCTACGAATCACAGAGGCAATAGAGCTCTTATTTAAAAAGAATAAAATTTTTAAACTTTCATTATAAAGTATATCCTAACTACAGGAGTCACTGCACTCCCTGCAATGAAAGGGTAAATGACTGTTCCACTTATCGGATCTTTTTCTTTTTTTTCAAACAGAGGCAAAACCATCCTTGACAGCTGCCCGTACATTGCAATAATGGCCCACCACTGGTACCCTCAGCAAATCAATGGACACAAATTTGATGGAAAAGATGGGGATTCAATCAGATTTCCTGAGCGCTTGTTAGAGGTCTCCATTGCCTCCTCCCCTCCTAGAGATGAGAACTGTAAATTTGTACAGTTTACAGAATACAGCAGCCAACAATGGTTTATAACTGGTGAAAAAAGAACTGCTCTAAAAAACAAGGTATGAAAATGCAGCAGCTTCTTTTTATGGGATTTGAATGTAAGTTTCAGTTATTAATCTTTGATCAAACAATGTTCAATGTTTATAGTGTATCATAGTTTGTGTCTGTGCATGTACATGTGGTGTAATTTTATTTATGCACTGACCACTGACTTTTAATTTTGAATACATATTTACCTTGCTTATGTTGTCTTAGATTTTTTCAATGAGTTTGAAGGGTCAGAGTTCATATCCACTGAAAGACAACAATGAAGTTATCTACCGGATTTATTCTGCAGACAGTCGGATTGTTCCACATAAATCTCTGTGCCTCCTTTGGAATCAGGCTGCAGAAAGGTAGATTTTATAAATCACAATTTAGCTTTTCACTTTCCATAATAGATCTGTGTGTGGTATGTATGGGGTAACTATGTTCAGGTTGCCTTATACTTTCCATTACAAAATAATTTTCATTTTCTTAAGAGTTCTAGCTACTCTATGGTTTGCTGCAGGATCTTAAAACTTGACAAGGGGACAGTTGTATGGAATATCCATGGGGACCCTGCTACATGGGGACATGATTTTAGTGCAAGTTAATGGAAATCGCATCACAACAGAAAATTATTTTACTGAAAGTCTGTGAAGACCATGTTACAATGGTCAATCAATCTCTTTCCAAGTCCACTGAGACCACATACATACAGCCCACTACTGTGACAATTATTTAGTGAAAAATGCATTCTCCAAATAATGTGTATACTTTTTTTTTCAATTAGAGAAGGGTAAAAGGAAGTTGGAAACAGTATTTAAATTTCATTCCAAATAGACAATGCATTTTGATGATTGCATCTGGAAGACACGGAAGATTAAAAAAAAATCTTGAAGTAGCCTTGGTATTTTCGGTTGTTACGGGAATGTTACAGTAACGTTTGTGCTGTCACTTTGAAGTCTGATTAGTATGAGAAATATACAAGCTCACTTTCTTCAATACTTGCATAATGTACAGTGATGCATAGGTAGCTGGTTGTCTCGTGTCTTGGATAAATGCCTTTCAGTGGTAAGAAGTAAAACTAGACAGTTACCAGTTTATTCCAGGATTAGGAAAGACACTTTAGCTTCAGCCTCTGATTAGTTTAAGAAATCAGTCTCAACATGAACACTCATGAATGAGGACTTTGTGAATCTTTTGTTTTTGCTGTAGCTGGTTGTCTGATAGTCAGTTCTGCAAAGTGGTTGATGACACTTCAGACTACGTACAATGCTCCTGTTCTCACATGTCCATTTACGCTGTGTATGCCCAGACAGACAACTTGTCCTCATACAATGAAGCTTTTTTCTCTTCTGGATTCATCTGTATTTCAGGTCAGTTGATGCAGCCTTATTTTTGTTTTTGACTGGTGTGATCTTGTTAAAGAAGAAAATATTATGGTGAACCATCTTTACTGTAAAGGAGTGAAAATGGTTGCTTAGTCTCCACTGAAGTTGAGCAGCAAAGTACTGGGTGTACACTAGCACTGCATCTGTCTCAGAATGACTGTCTAAGATCTTCTTTCTCCAATGCCTGCACAATAATTCCAGTCCACTGCTGGACTTGGATTCAAGAGGCAGAGCTTCTGATTGTGCCACTATTAGGACTGCCATACGTCTTTGTCTTCAAATGTTGTTCATCAGTTCAGTGTGTTACCACAAGTAATCCATATGAGAGAATAAGTCTTGTAGCTGTATTCTGTGAATTCTGATGTTGATAGAGTGAAACTCCATTTCCATACATGTAACTTTTATAAGCCTTTAATAGCACTTTATTGTAATAGTTGTACCTTCTCACTGCTTAAGTGAGAACAGGAAAGCTTCATTGCACAAAAATATTTTGGTGTAATTACAGCCTGATGCTTCAAGAACTCTCAATTACTATTGACATCAGTGGAAGTTGAATATAATAAATACATCGAAAGAATCTAATATTCTGTGAAAAATATCGAATGCAGTGATCTGGTAAAAGGAGGTTTGTGTGGGCTTGAAGGATGCCCCTTGTTTGAAATTTCAGAACCAAATTTACAGGAGGTCTGAGGCAGTCCTCTTGTTCTGATGAAGTCACCCCCTCTTTGGATACTTTAAATCATCCCGTATAGAGATGGGTTTTAAGATATAATTTACCTCAGGAAATTTTTTTGCACTCGACCAATTAAGAATATGAAAACTAAACTCCCTTCTCCTCATCCCTCAAAAAAGCATGTGCTGAATTCTTAAAGATATGTTGTATGCTCCTCTTCTTCCATTCTGAGTGTAAGGACAGACAAAACTATACATTTTATTTCTCTACCTTCCTGGAAATGAAGAGGCAAGTCACCCGGCAATTAAACATTTAAACAAATATTGTCACACACAATTAATTTAGTTCAAATCTTGCATTCTGATAAAAGAATATTCTCAGAATCACTTGAAATGTTATCATTGCCTCCCTTACTCTATGAAGTTGCTCCTGTTGAATGGACTTCAGTAGGATACTTTAGGTGAAACTCAGACTTACGTCTGGTAAACAGACCATCAACCAGCAGTTCTAGATTTAGGAATTGTAAGGAACTTTCACAGCAAATCTTTTCTTCCTACTTAAGAATGAAGTAACAGATATTTAAAAAAGATGAATATTGAAGGAATACCCTGTTTGACTCCAAGTTTGGCTCTCAGGCCTGTAATGTTTTCTTTTGAGCTCATCATTACTATTGTAGATATCACTAGCTAGTGACACAGTAATTCACAGCTGAGTATTTGTGCCACAATCCACCACTTCCTGCTTTCAGAATGTATACCTGTGAGTGAACTGTGTCCCTACCATGTCTTCAACAGAGCACACACGTCCTGGGTTAACATACGACCTTGCCTTCTTCCTGGGGAGTGGGTTTACTGGGAACTCAGTTACAATAATACAATGACAGGTTTCAGAGGAACAGCCGTGTTAGTCTGTATTCGCAAAAAGAAAAGGAGTACTTGTGGCACCTTAGAGACTAACCAATTTATTTGAGCATGAGCTTTCGTGAGCTACAGCTCACTTCATCAGATGTATCTCATGCTCAAATAAATTGGTTAGTCTCTAAGGTGCCACAAGTACTCCTTTTCTTTTTGCGAATAATACAATGTGAGCTTCAGCCTAAGGTTCCTCCCTGAGCTTGGTTATTCCTAGAATAGATCATGAAGGAAAGCCCTATCTTTGTTCCCTCTGTCCTCTGAAAACCGCCTCCATCGTCTTCATATCCAAGGTGGAGTTAACAAGCCACACCAGCTGCAGTATGTCAGCAGACCCTAGCACCAACTAACGGTGGGTCAAGAGAAGAGTTCTGTCACCGTATTCCAGTACTGCTGTCCAAAAGGTCCATACACAATACAGATGGAACATGGGATTCAGAATTAGGACTAGTACAGCTGTTTGTCATAAAGCAATGCTGCACTGTATAAAGCACTGTGCGTTCATTTCAACACTGAAAATTCCCCTTTGCTGCATCTGTGGCTATTGGTTAGTTCTAACATTCCAGTAACTAAAGAAATGAAATGCAAATAAAGTGAAAATGGTGCAAGCACAGAAATGCCCTACATTGTGCATTAGGCCCGTAACTTGTGAAAACTTAAGCACATGCTTAATTATAAGTGCAATTGAGTATTCTGATTGGGAACTAAAAGTTAAGCACATTCGTAAGGTCTTTACAGGATTAGGGCCTTAGTTATGTAATAGTTCCAAAACTACTCTGCCATCTGACATAATGTTTGTCCGTGATTCTTAGAATGATCCTGTTTTTTCTGTTCCCACAGGTTTCACTTTGGCAATTCTTTCACATCTTTTCTGTGCCAGGTGTTCCATGTTTGCAGCTAAACTTCTTACTCATATGATGGTTGCCTGTTTGGGTTCTCAGGTAGGGGGAAAAAAAACCTTTGAAGTCTCTGACTTTTGATCAAGTACAGACATTCTTTCTTCTCCCATCTCCCCGTAGTTGCTCCTGAGCGGAGCAGGAGGGTTTTTTTTTTTTTTTTAAAGAGAGAATGAGAGAGAGACAGAGTAGCACAAGATATTGCACGTGTGTGTGTGTGAAGTCAGAATTTGTGATATATAACATAAATAAACTGTACTGATAATTAAGTGAAAAATTAGGGGTGATGGAACCAAAATGTCAATGGGGGCTAACACCTCCACTCTGGAAAATACTGTGTGGGCTCCGCCTCTTCATAAAGTCACACACACCCAGGGTGGCGGCAGAGGCAAGCGCAGGATTCTGAGGGGGACCCCCACCTTCCCAGCCTGGAGCTGGTGCCCTCCAAGTCTCAGTAGCTCCCCTCGCTCCCCCTCCTAACCCTCCACCCCCCCATTCACAGTGAGCTTCTGCACCCCTTCTTCAGTCAAAATGATATACTTCCAAGCAATGTTAAGCAATACAACTAATAGATGGTTGGAGTATCTATCCTACAGCTGGTAAAGTCGAGTTTTTGGTGGGAGAGTGGGAACATAAAATACTAGCTGAGATGAAACAGTATCTGTGCTAACAACATGGTTTATTGAAATAAATTAGTGGAGTGGAGACAGGAAAAGCACAAATGTTTTAGTGTGTGTATTGTGTATATGTATATATAAAAATGCATATTCCTCTCAAACTAACTTGTAGGAAGCTGTAATTATGCAAGGATAAGAATGCAGAATATTGAGAATATGGGATCTTATTTATTATCAACATTATTACATATCTCTTGGTATGATTTCAAATCAGTACACAGGAACAGCTGTCCTAATTGAATAACCTTAGCTCTTATGCAAAACAAATAGTCACTTTGATATTTCCTAGAGATACATTCCTGAAGATTGATTAAAGTATCTAAGGGACAGGGCCCTCGTGACACGAATTTAGAAAATTTGTCCAAAGTTGCTAAGGTGGTCTGGATGAATGGGGATGTTTTATTTTTGGTGGCCTAAATTTCTTTTTAATCCAGCAATTGCTATTGAATAGGTATATTTGGTCTTTAGTCTTGTTTGAGTTTTACTCAGTCTTTGGATGGTCTATTGTTAACCCAATTGATTGCAAAAATGCCAGCTTCCTACAGAACCCCTGACCAGCTTATCTAATGCCCCAGTAAAGGATATACATTTTAAACAGAATGATGAATTAATTTCTTTATTGTTAGCAACTAGACTGTGTATTGCACAAAATTATTGAACAAATGTGATCCCTTCTCCTCCTATGGAATTGTGGTATAGTAAAATATGGACTGTCTTCGTAATGGAAAAGTTTTCCTTCCAAGTATGTACACAAGAAAAGCATCAAAAAGATAATAAGTATTTAGAAATATTTCTAGTGTACTCAGAGGAGGGAGGCTCCCCAGCCAGCAAACCAGAATCTTTAGCCAGGTTCTTTAGATATTAACATGATCCTGAATAAGTTACATATGATGTAATACATTAATATTTTATTGTAACTTTGCCTTAATAAAAGGTTTAAAACTTTTATTGGACCAACTTCTATCAATTGTTATTTTCTCTTAACAGAATGTGGTCCAATGAAGCATATTCCTTGCCCACCTTGTCTCTCTACTTTTTGGTGGGTTTTTCCAAAGAGCGCTTTCACATATACCTCTTTAGCTGCCTGTTGGCAGGCTTTTGCCCTTAAGAGTGCCTGGTTCAGCAGCTCCATGTTCCTATATGTTGAACAGAAGAAAGGAAAATTTAAAAAAAAACAAACAGGTGCTTCAGCTGGGCAATAAATACTTTAACAGTTTGGCCTAACAAAGAGAGTACTTCTTAAGGAAATTAGTACAACTTTTGTAATTGTGTTCCATAGTTGAAGAGTTAAGGGCTAGATTTGATATTGAGTTTCCCAGAAAACAAATCAGAAGCACTTGTGAAAGAAGACATGTCACCTGAAACCCTAAATAGGATTGCGTTGAGCCTGATAATGCTGTTTGTATTATGTCTGTGACCTGTCTTGGCTCTCTGATTTGGCTTAGCTATTTTCATACAAAATCTTTAGAAACCCATCTTCCATAATTAGAGTTTACTTGGCTATGTTCACCAACCACTCTGACTTTGGCAGCAGTATTTGCACAGGACATAATTTTAGCAACTTTAGATTGAAGACAATATTCAGATGCCTTAAGCAGACAAATTGGGGTTTCTTGTGTCAAAAAAAAAAATGTAGCAGGAATAGTCAAGCATGGTTATATCCAGTACTTAAAAACAGATGTTTGGTATTCTGACCCACTCATTGCCTCCAAAACTTCTGTTGGAAAATCCTTGGCAAACAGATTTCTTTCTTTCTTAATTTAAAGATAGAATTATTTCAGTTTAAAAAGTTGCTGCATTCTTTTTTCTTTTTCTCTGTCCTTTTTAGAGTTTTGGGAAAGTACTATCTTAAGTTGTTTCTTTTTATCTTGCTGTGACATCATATTGACATACCACAATTATGTGATGTGTGCAGTCTAGTACTGTATGTCAGATGATAATTGCTGATGTTTTATCACAACATCTCCACTTGTCTGTCATTGATGGGGAGAGCTGGATGGGAAACGGCTTTCCCATCCCATGAAATTTCCAATTCCCCCCCCCCCAAAATCTGTCCTAAATCAGGACCAAAAAACAGTCTCACATTTTTACAGAATGATAATCCAAAAATGTTTTTGGATCAAGTCAACTGGAACATTTTATTTTCAAAATTTTGAAAGATTTTGTTTGTTTTGGCCTGTAATGGATCAGTAACTGATGAATGACAGGAAACAAAGGGTAGAAATAAATGGTCAGTTTTCACAGTGAAGAGAGGTAAATAGTGAGGTCGCCCATGAATTAGTATTGGGACCAGTGCCGTTCAACATATTCATAAATGATATGGAAAAACAGTGAGGTGGCAAAGCTTGCAGATGATACAAAATTATTCAAGATAGTTAAGTCCAAAGCTGACTGTGAAGAGTTATAAGGGGATCTACGAAACTGGATGTCTGGGCAAGATGAAATTCAATATTGATAAATGCAAAGTAATGCACATTGTAAAACATAATCTCAACTATACATACAAAATGATGGGGGTATAAAATAGCTATTGCCACTCAAGAAAGATCTTGGAGTCATTGTGGCTAGTTCTCTGCTTAATGTGCAGCAGCAGTCAAAAACATTTGGAAAGGGATAGATAGTAAGAAAGAAAACATCATCATACCACTATATAAATGTGTGGTACACCCACACCTTGAATACTACCTGCAGTTGTGGTTGCCCCATCACAAAAAAGATATATTAGAATTGGCAAAAGTACAGAGAAGGACAATAAAACTGAGTAGGGGTATGGAACAGCTTCCATATGGGGAGAGATTAAAAATGACCCACCTTGATTATCATACACATTGTGAAGAGAGTGGTCACTTTGGATGGGCTATTACCAGCAGGAGAGTGAGTTTGTGTGTGGGGGGGCGGAGGGTGAGAAAACCTGGATTTGTGCTGGAAATGGCCCAACTTGATGATCACTTTAGATAAGCTATTACCAGCAGGACAGTGGGGTGGGAGCGGGTATTGTTTCATGGTCTCTGTGTGTATATAATGTCTTCTGCAGTTTCCACGGTATGCATCCGATGAAGTGAGCTGTAGCTCACGAAAGCTCATGCTCAGATAAATTGGTTAGTCTCTAAGGTGCCACAAGTACTCCTTTTCTTTTTGCAAAGACAGACTAACACGGCTGTTACTCTGAAACCATTAAAAATACTGATACTGTTCAGTTTACAAAAGAGATGACTAAGGGAGGATATGACAGAGGTCTATAAAATCATGAATGGTGTGGAGAAAGTGAATAAGGAAGTGTTTATTTACCCCTTCCCATAACATAAGAACCAGGGGTCAGCCAATGAAAGTAATGTTTCAAGCAAACATCAGGAAGTATTACTTCACACAACACTCAGTCAACCTATGGAATTCATTGCCAGAGGATGTTGTGAAGGCCAAAAATATAACTGGTTTCAAAAAAGCATTAGAAAATTTCATGGAGGATAGGTCCATCAATGACTATTAGCCAAGATGGTCAGGAATGCAGCCCCATGCTGTGGGTGTTCCTAAACCTCTGACTGCTGGAACTGGATGGTGGGATAGCGCACTCGATACGTTGCCCTCTTTTCTTCACTCTCTCTGAAGCATCTGTCACCAGCCACTGTCAGAAGAGAGGATATTGGGCTAGATGGACCACTGATCTGACCCAGTATGGCCATTCTTGTATTCTTGTATAATTGTTTTAAATATAAATTAACTAAAATTTTGAAACATAGTCATTTTGATCCAAAAAATGCAACTTTGGTTGGAAAGTGTCAAAATGGGATGTTTCCACAATTTTAAAAAAAAAAAAAATTTTTAATCAGGAGATTTGTTGAAACTGTTCCTTTTCTGCAGATTGTTTCGGTTTATAGAAATCTGCATTTTCTATTGAAAAATGTTTCAGAAAATTTCTGACCAGCTCTACTTTTGAGCTTTTCCTCTGGATAAAGATCAGAGGCAGTTCTTATGCTAACAAAGATCTCAGAAGTTAAGACCCATATATCCCTCTTCCTAGCAGAAGGTCAGCAGCCAATAGATGGTACCTGTGATGTTAGTTCAACTTCTCTCACATCTTTGTTGTCTTCTAATGTATTTAAGCATTTTGGGGAGGAAGATGAGGTTGTGAACTGCATTTGTTTTCTTTCTTCATTTTTTTGGTCTTTTCCCGTAATCAGCCTCAGAACAGGCAAGTTAATACATGTATGGAAAACTAATATGAAACACATATACCCAGTGGAAGGGTAAAAGGCGGGAAGCAATAATGGAGAAAGACTTACAGAAAATAGTGGATGGCAAATTAGAAGGTTTGCAAGACCATATGGCAGTGTAAGAAGTCTGTGCTGCCAATGTAAAGGCATAACTTTG